ACATAGTATCTTAAAGTTATCCCTCACTGCAATTATGTTTTGGTCAATGAAGAGAATATATCTATTACATCTTTATTGTCTAATTTCATTATAAATATGAATTTTTCTTGACATTCTATGTTACTAAAAAATAATATGCACTTGATAATTCCAGTACGTTTCATTTATGAATTACAATGAGATTGTAAGATCCTTAGTTGTAGGACATATCGGACATGCCCGCAATGACGTCAAATGCGTCATCAAGCCACGTAACCGTACTTCCTTTTTTCGAGGGGCGTAGCCCAGCAAGCGTGAGATCTGTGAAAATGGATGGTTATTATCATTTTTTGATGAATTTAGAGATTTTCTGAAAAATCAGAGGCTGGAATATTTATAAGTAGAAGTGTATTCATGTTTTGAAAGAAGAGCCCTTTAGGGCTGACCCTAATCCTGAGCAGACGCGTACGCAGGGAGGGGGGGGGGGGGGTTGCTCAAAAATATTATATAAAAAAAAATTATGCCAATGGCTGACCTAAAAAAGATAACCCCCCCCCCCCCCAACGGAGCCAAATGTCAAATTTTCAAATTTCGAGACCAAAAAAAAAAAAAAAAAGTGTCCTGTTACACCCTCCCCCCCCCCCCCCTCCCTCCGCTTATCCAGCGGCTGGCTGAGTCGTTGCGATTTTTTTTTTTGGGGGGGGGGGACCAAAAAAAAAAAATGTGTCCTCTTAGTGTCCTCTTACCCCCCCCCCCCCCCCCCCCCCCCCGCTTATTCAGCGACTGGCTGAGTCGTTGCGAAATTTTCGGCCCGATTTAAAAATGTTAAAACCCCCCTTGAAAAAATCCTGCGTACGCTACTGATCCTGAGATTAGGGTTGGGATTAGGGTTATAACAACCATGCAAACCCATCTTTCGTCAACCCCTAGATGGCTCAATCGGTTAGGTCAGCGTACGATAAGCCATCAGTTACTAGTGCATGGGTTCGAGTCCCAGTGAGTATTCCTTCACACTTCTTGAATAGCAAAAAAGCACAAACTACTGATAAATTGAAAAAGCATTTCAATTCAATAAAAAGCAGGAATTTATGGGAAATTGTTAATGTGATGAAAATCCGCCGCTCGAATCCCAGTCATTAAAACTGGTATGAAATTAATCACTAATCACTAAACATTTAATTGCAGAAGGGAAGTACAACAAACTAAGGGCATACAATAGGACACAACCTATAACAATAGGGCACAACAAAATGTTAGAGAACCTGTGATACAAATTTTTCTCATTCATAAAAAGTACGAACGGTCTGAATCTGAATGGCACAGAATCTGAATGGCACAGAATCTGAACTAGCAACAGAGCATGAGCATGATCATGAACATCATCCTCGCTTGAATGTGTCTCCTCCACAGGCGCGGATCCACGAACCCATTTCTACCGGCCCGGCTATCCTCCATACCAGCACAAAATGAATGGGTCTGTTCAGCAACAGACGTTGACTAACAATTTATATTCAGACTATATTCTGACTGCTCATTCAGACTTTTTTGCTGTTGTATCCGTGTGATGTGGCTCATTAACAGACACAGAACTTGCATCTCTACATTCTGGCAAATTTGTTGCGTCTTTTCGGACATTTTTATCATTCAAGCAAAGATCATGAGTGACGAACGTAAGTAGTTTTGTTTGATTTCAATATCGATTAATTAACAATAAATGAACATTTGGCATAATTTGGTAAAGGGGTAAAAATGCCCACGTTCCCTAGGGAGCGTAACATTTTTTGTCTTTGTTGCTCAGTATACTTTCATATCCTTATGAACTTTCTCTAATATTATAATGTTCTTATTAAAAAATTAAAAAGTGGTCAAGTGTGCACAAATATCATTTTATCAGGCGGTTCACGAAGCATAAGCATTTGAATGGTTCAGGCAAATGTCTTATTTGTCTTTATTGTTTTAATACGTGTAATATATTAAATTTCTGCCAGTTCTGGGGAAAGGTGAAACATATTTTGTGAGTGTTTTCATTGTTATTATGAAAGTGTGAAAGTGTTCCCTGAAAAGCATGGCTTTTCAAATGCCTTCATATTCTAAATATGACTTGTAACGGCTTAACATTTTTTATATGATTTATTTACCAACAGCAATACATAGTAGATTTTACATATACAAGAAGAGAAACTATTGGTTGGTAAAAGGGGCCAGATAATAGCACATGTGCTAGTCGAGCCTAATCCCTTAAACAGCTATCAGTTTAGAAAACGTAACAAAACAAAATATAATGAATTTACTATTACAATCGATACTTTAAAAAACAAGAATACTCAACAATGTATTATAATATACAAACTAATAATGTAAAATATGAATTGTGTTATATATGCAAATTATTTAACTTGATATTTCATTCATGACTTCTTCAACAAATGACTTGTAACAGAATTCCGATAACGATTTCTAGACCTCGTCAATCTGACATCAATAGGCAGGGGCGGCGATTTCTTTTCATAACCGGGGGGGGGGGGGGGAGGGGGAGATGCGAGGGACGAGGGAGCAGTGGCGTGATGAGCAAAAACGTTTGGGGGGGGGGAGAGAAAAATCCGCATCACCACCACCCCTCTTACATGTTACGCAGGCTCTGGGAACGTTTTTCAAATGGGGGGGGGGGGGGGGGGCTAAAGTATTTAAGATCAGTGTAACTGCAGCCAATCAATAACGACAAGTTAACAAGGTTTTTACGGGAGTGTTCTTTTATTCTTTGGTAGGAGCGTAGCTTCCTTTCTTTGACTCCTTTCCTTTAACTCTGTTCTTTTCACTCCGTGAAAACTGTGAGAAAACAAACAACAAAAAATGGGCATTAATTAAAATGCAATAATAATTACAGGTTCCTTATCCATGTAATAATTACAGGTTCCTTAAAACAAATTTGGGCGTGACCCATAGGCATTATACCAAACTTTGCCATTTACTTAACCTTACTATTTCTTTGTGTTTCCTGAATAGTCTTCACACTTCTACAAATTAATACAACTTAAGTTCTTATACACAGATTCATCAACATAAATTCTTATACATGGGCACCTGCCTCAAAGTTATGGCATAAATATCATAATTATACACATATTTCCCACAATTAACTGAAACACTGCAAGCTTAAGTACTGACCTTCTTGCCTCCTTTTAGTCAATTAACTTGTCTGCAGCTAAGAATATGTTGCAATTAATCATCGATTTCTCATTGTTCTTCATTGATCATTGTTTGACTTTGAAACTCTGTCTATAAAAGTCTGTCGCCGAAGATGGCGCTCTAACCTTTTGGTCGACTAAATCAAATACACTTACAATCAGGTAGAGCAAAGCAAAGCAAAGTGGGGCGTAAATTGGCGTGGGGTCCAGGGGTAGCTTTAAGGGGTGGAGCCTCATGAAGCTCAGGGGTTTTAGGCATTTACTTACGGTCAGATGAGCATATTTTGATACCTTATTTGTGGCACTGGCATGCAGGTCACTTATTGAAGTGGGGGCCATGGGTGAGCCCCCAGAAGCTCAAAGGTTTTTAGGCATTTAATTACGGCCAGATGAGCAACCAGGGGCCCGCATTACGGCCCCCGGAAGCTCAGGGAAATATTGTGCCATTTCAACAACATTTGTAAATCACTGGCATCGAATTAGAAATAAACCACGTTTGAATTTCATTTGAGGGGAACTGCCCCCAAAGCCCCCCCCCCCCCAATCAGTACCAATGTAGTGTCAATAGGTAATATATTCGAAAATTCACTGCCCACAAAGAACAAAGGTAGATTACACATGTTTCTTTCTCCTTTATGTAAATGTATTTTATAATTCTTGCAATAATGTCTACAATGTTTAGATACTTGTTCTGATTTTACAGAGTCTACAGATTGTATTGATATTTCCCTAACTTTCTTCCTATCTCCTTCTCTCTCTCTTCCTTTTCTCTCTCTCTCTCTCTCTCTCTCTCTCTCTCTCTCTCTCTCTCCCTTTATCATTTCCTCTTTCTCTCCCTCTGTCTTACTCTCTTCTTTTTCTATACTCTGTTGGGATTTTCTTTATTGTATGTTACATGTATTTCAGATTAATTGCAATGTCTATAATGTTTGGATACTTGGGCTGTTTTTACCGAGTCTACTGATGGTATTGATATTTCCCTAACTTTCTTCCTATCCCCTTCCTTCCTTCTCTCTCTCCTTTTACTTTTCTTCCCTCTCTCCCTCTATCGTACTTTTTTCCTTTCTCTATGCTCTTTTGGGAATTTCTTTATTGGAAGTTACATGTATTTCAGGTTAATTACAATGATGTCTACAAGTTTGGATACTTGGGCTGATTTTACAGATTCTACAGATAGTATTGATATTTCCCTAACTTTCTTCCTATCCTCTTCCTTCTCTCGCTCTCTCTCTCTCTCTATCTCTTCTCCTTTCTCATTTTCTCCCTCTCTCTCCTCTATATTACTCTCTTCTCTTTCCATGCTCTCTTGGGAATTTCTTTATTGTATGTTACTTGTACCATCTCAATACTTTTTTTTTTTTTTTTAATGCTGACATATTCCCCCCTTTTCACCATTGATCTTTTTAAACCCAGTCTTATGCATTTTAATTTTCTTCTTATTGGACTCCCGATCTGTGCCTGATAAAGATATTGCACAGCTCGAGACCCCTCTTTTCATGTAATTGTAATGATGTATACTTATTGTTGTTTTTGTTTATAATTCCTTTTTGAAATATTTACCGATAATAGTTTAGTTATTTGATATTTTAACTTATGTAACTTATGTATTTATTCATTACTTCTATTTTATTATGTATATTTGATTGAAATTTTATTTTGTACCCAAGACAGTTGTCAGTCTTTGGACAGTTTGCTCTTGGTTTTGATGTTTTGATTTCAATAAAATCCGGACAGCAACAGACAGCAAACAGACAATAGTGCATTTTTTTTATCACGTAGTACTACGGTAACCGTTCTTGCTTGAATGAACCGCGTATCATAACGACCCAATCAATTATGGCTCTAGAAGGTTGGGTTCTAGCCTCTTGTCGATGGCCCTCGCTTTGTTGGAGTCCGTAAATTCTGGCGAGCGAAGCGAGTCAGAACCGCTCGGTTTCTCTGACTCGCTTCGCTCGCCAGAATTTACGGACTCCAACAACGCGAGGGCCATCGACAAGAGGCTAGTTGGGTTCCGGAAAAAGTGAAATAATCACTCGTGAGCTTTCTCTCCCGTTTTATTCCTCTGTAGTATTATCGTCACCGTAGTATCGAGTATTATCGTCACCGTAGAAAGGTTCCCTCAATGTCCTGATATCCGCTTCCTGATAATTAAAAACTAGTTTTTACTATGTAGTCTTTCACTTTCGTAAAAGAACACGTCAGAAAATGGAATTTTGTTGTTGTTGGCAGAAACTACATCACTTTTTCACTTCATTTCAGAATCTTTTTATATCCACCGAATTAATTCGGTCTCATTTTCTTTTCTGCTTCATCCAGCCATGAGAGTTCTTGCTGCTTTTGAGCGCAACCTTGCCGACGTCCTGGAATATGAGGAATATATATTCCTGAATAATATCGATCCAATTGATGTCTTCCCGAGGATGCAAAAAGATCAGGCTGAGACATCATCAAGCATGTCTTCTGAGGAGGAGGAACAGATGCAGGAGAAAGAGGAGGAGATGGAACAGAAGGAGAAGGAGCAGAAGGAGGAGGATCATAAAGAGACGGAGAAAGAAAACAATAAAGAAGAGGAGAAGATGGACGAGAAGAGGGTGGAGGGTAAGAAGGAGGAGCTACATAAGCAGGAGAAGAAGGAGGGGAAAGAACAGGAGCAAGATGACGAGAAGGAGAGGCGGGAGGAGATAGGGGAGGTAGAATCCTGGAAGCAGAAGAAGAAGATGGAGGAACAGAAGCAAGAAGAGAATGAGGACCAGGAGGTAGTGCTAGACGGGGGCACTAGCCTGTCATCAGCAGGGAAGGGGGAGGGGTGGAGTAATTACAACAAAGAAATTGGGTAAGAGATTATACATCTGAAGATTAAAATGCTGCAATCAACTAATTTGTTTAAACTATGGATATATGAATATTGACCGATGATTCTTTAAATCAAAACAAGGTTGCATATTGTAATTCATCATAATTGTGATCAACAATACAGATCTATAACACGTGATTCAAGAATGAACAAATTATTGACTTTCATTTCGGTGAAAAGGAACCTACAGTATGCAAAGCACACAACTCAAAGAAAAGAATCGGGGGAGCAGGGGGGGGGGGGTAGAGATTGTAGTTTGAAGTTTGTATAAACATGTACTCTCTGATATCTGAGATTCAATAACATATTTGAATTTTAGTCTTAACAAAATGCAAATTTGTGAGTAAAAGACTTTTTTTGGGGGGATGACCGGGGGGGGGGTGGGGGGGGGGGGGGTGGTCTGCAAATATGACTGTTTCTTTAATAAAACCCCTTATGGAAAACAAAAATCTATTCTGTCATCAATAACGAATAAAAATGAAAGTCCAAGAAATTTTAAGTACTGAGCAAATAGGAGGGGAGCTCGCAAAATACGTCACTGAGTTGCAGGTATATTTGCAATTTGATTAATCGCACCTTCTAAAATTCATAACTTTCTTATTTTTAATCGGAAGAACAAGGAGGATAAATTAAAGACATACATTTCTTTATTTCAGAGCGGCACTTGTTCCGCTTTTTGCCATGCCCTCCAACCTTAAGTTCCAATGCTACCATCAGACGGCTTCTGTCAAAATGACCTACTTATAATGCAGTCGTAGCGATGTTGAGTGTGTTAAACTGAACAAATACATATTATTCTGACAAAAAACAAGCCTGCACCATTGCAGGCTCGTTACACGTTATTGAATCAATAATTTTGTTTGTACAATGGTAATATATAGTTCGTGATATTGGACTAAAAAGGGACCATCACTGTGATTGTGTATGATAAATGTTAGAGGGCTACGGGATAAGGTTAAAAGAAAATACATTTTCTAATGGTGTAAACGTTAAGGAAGTGACATTTTTTATAGTACTATATAGAAGTAGAAGAACAGTGGAAACGGGAATGGGGCGGGTCACTGTCCTTTAGTCATGGGTCAAACCACAATAGGAGTGTTCTTAATTTATTTTCTCCCCATTTATATTTTAAGTGAGCAGGGTGCAGTTGTAATAGATGAAGAAAGGATGTACATTTTATTTAAAGGGGAAATACAAGGGGATAAATGTTTGCTGGGAAATGTGTATTTCCCTACAAGAGACAAAATACAATTACAGGTTGATTTTTGTAATAAGCTAGATACAAGCATTTGTGCAATTTTTGCTAAGGACTATTCAGTAGTATTAGGGGAAGATTTTAACCCTGCAATGGAATGGAGCATGGATCATGAAAGGCCAAACATTGTATTTAAATCTAGGTTTATTGATGTATTGAAAGGATTTTTAAATAAATTTGATTTAGAAGATATATGGAGGAAAAGGAAGCCTAATGCTCGATATTTTACTTTAAGACAAAGGTCGCCTTTAGTCCAAAGTCGTTTAGATTATTGGTTTATAATCATGTAGTTAAGATTAATCAGTGAAGAAGTATCGATTTTTGTATCGATAACACCGGATCATTCGGGCATTGAATTGCATTTAGTAGATAATTTGTTTTGGGAAAATCGTATTGGAAATTTAATAATAGGGGATATGGGGTAGAGGGCGTTTGTTTTGTTTGTTTTGATTTTATCTTAGCTTAATAACCTCAAATGTTCATTATTCGTACGAAGTTCATAATTATGTGATGTAAATTATTATGTATATGTAATTTCCTTTCTGTAATGGAACATCCATGTATATGATGCACATTTATGTTCACGAAATTGTTATTGATGTTTTTTGTTCTGTTTATTTGGAGGAATAAAACATGAACCAACAACAAAAATTGTACGGTAACATGGAATAATGGAGGGAGAGGAAGAAAGAAAGAGACACCCGTGCAGGAAGGGAGAGGGATAAGGTCGCAAGAGAGGGACAATAGGGACTTTTAGATTCGCACGAAAACAATAGGTCTATGCTACGATCGACGTCCTTTTAATGCACTGCCTTGAATGAACGTCACACGTATCAGTCCACGCAAATCTAAAAGTCCCTAATATGGTAGAGATAGTCCAGGATCATCGGGAGAGAGTGAGAGAGAGAGAGAGAGAGAGAGAGAGAGAGAGAGAGAGAGAAGGAAGGGGAGAGAGGGGGAGGGAAGAGAGAGAGAGAGAGAGAGAGAGAAAGAGAGAGGAGAGAGAAACAGACAGACAGACAGACGGAGAGAAAGGGGAAGGGGGGGGGCACAGATCCTGGAGAGCCATCAATTGGAGCATCCCATTTTAGACGGAAGAAAAATATATGCAGATACGTTGACATCGAATAAGAACACACAAACACGCACATCTTACAAAGGAGGATCCCGGGGGTGGGGTGAGAAGAGAGGATCACCTGTCTCAGAATGTTTGGGCTTAGAGAGAGAGAGAGAGAGAGAGAGGGAGAAAGATATAAATATATATTTAAAGAGAGAGAGAGAGAGAGATAGAGAGAAGGGAGAGATGGAGGAAATGTGTGTTTGTGGGGGAGGGGGTGATGTCTTGGAGACATTTGCAAGTCGATTTGAATAAATAGAGAGTAATTAAACAACAAACAAAACATCCCTCACTTTTCTATATCCGTTTTGTACATGAATTAATCAAAAATATCCCTTTCCTGCTCTGAGAATGTAATGATTCCTCATGGAATATGTGCAACATCACCATAAACAGGTGTGTCAAAATAATATACAGAGAAAATATTGAAATTTGATAAACAAAATATGAAACCCTCAACTCGTTAATTTGCATATAGCTAATATGAGATACATATCACTGTTTTATGAAAACATGCGAAACTTAATAATTCCATTACATTCTTATTTATCATCATCCTTTAAAGTGACTCGGTAACATTGTTGAAGGTTGATTAAAAAATTGCGTAATTTTTGTAAGAAATGTTACTTATTATCTTCCTTTTACTGTACTTACCCTCTAACATGCCAACAAATCCTGAAAAACTCTCAAACAACAAAGATATTGATGGTTTTCTAGGAAGGCGTCACTGTGCGAAACCCTCTAACAGTGATTAACAGTAAATTCTCCCAACCATTTTTGAATTTTCCCAACCGTTTTCCCATGAAAATAAGACAAAAGACAGGCTTTTAAAAATCGTTCAACACTTAAATGTCTGGAATAGTATAAAAAGCCAATTCAATGCTTTATGACGATTTACATTCACCTGAAATGTAATTAAATTATAATAATATAGTTGGGAGAATTAAGGTATCGATCAGATCAGTTTTTCCCGATTGTTATCGTTAATATTAAATGGTCTGTTTTCATTCAAACTTTCAGATTATCTTTAATTGTACATCTAGCATTGAAGTCACTACCTTATATCTTCTCTCATCTATACAATGTTACCATGTCCCTTTGATGAAACTTTCACTGTTTCGGTTGTTTAATTTTCCTCTCCTTATTCAATTCACCTTGCAACTTGCAAATGGGTCGGACTTGCCAATTCCGAATTGGCATAAATCTTTAATGTTCTTCTCAAAGCGTTCGACGGCTCTCTATTTCCTTTTCGTTATTTAATTGCTTAACCATCCCCTTCTCTCTCCCTTTCTATAACCTCTCTCTATTTTGTTTCTCTCTTCTCCTATTCCCTTCGTCCCCCTCTCTCTCTCTCTCCATCTCCCCTCTTTCTCTTACTACACTCACTGAAACCCTCTCTACCTCTTTATCCCCTTCCTTCACCTCCCTCTAGTTTTTCCTTCAAATCTCCCCCTCATTCCTCTTTCCCCTCTTTCTCTCCCTCTCCCCATCTTTCTTTCTCTCCCTCTCACCAATCCCTCATTCTGCCACCCCCTTCTCTCTGCCTCTCTGTCTCACTCTTTCCCTTTCTCTCTCTCTCTCTCTCTCTTCTCTTTCTCTCTCTCTCTTCCTCTCTCTCTCTGTCTCTTCTCTTTCTCTCTCTCCCTCTCTCTTTCTCCACCTCATTCATGTACACGCTATCTCTCCAAGGTCGAATATTATTGTCATAGGTGTAATCTCTCAACTACCAAAACACGTCAGAAATGAATACACTAGATGGATCACTTTAAAACTTCACAATGTTATTAACAAGCTATTTAAACTTTGAAATATTGCAAAAAATTGCCATTCTGCATCGAAAATATCACATGAATAAAATGAAACTGTATGAAATATATAGGCATATAAAGGACGGCATTTTAAAATCATATGATAACTATTAAAACCTCTCCTTTTAGATAAAATTTGGTTACAATGGAAACATGATGATTAAAATAAGTCAAGGGATAGAATCATCTTTGCGATATGCTATTGAATTGTATGGGTTTTGATAGACGTATGAATACATACATGCAAAAAGAACATTAATTCGTTGTCTACAAAACGGCGAGTAAGATTTTAAATCTCATAATAAATATTTGAATATTTCAGTGTAATTGTAAATATCATAATAAATAATTTAAATATTTATAAGCCCATCTATTCCTATTAGACTTCATAGAACTTACCATAAGATTGATAATTAAAAGCATTTAGCCGAGTATTATGAATTATATTTTAGACGTAAATGATTCAATAGACGTAATCTGCTTATCAAACTTAAAGATACTATGTCCCTTTTGCAGCCAACATCAAATTCTGTAGAACTTTGCAGCAATTATGATTAGCAGTGTCCTAATATTCAAATTATGCAAGGAAACCCGTGTACTTACTAGACTTCACTGCCAGACACTATTGAGTGACTGGCTGGCTCTTTTTCTTCTTTGATAATAGAATGAGCTTTAGTCGATTTGACAACTAATAGTCGTTATTTCCCCACTTTAAGACATTTTCAAGCCCCCCCCCCCCCCCAATTTTTTTAGGGAAGCTCTAAATTAGTATTATCTTTCAAATGCTGTTGGAATTTAACCTTTTCATTTGTTTAGCCTGCAAATGGGACATAGTACCTTTAAGCTGGTACCCATTGTAATACGACTGCGACCCAACTGACCCTATAAGAACAAAGATGTTCAGTCGAACATTTATCCGTAGTTATACAGGACCCGTTTTGAGCATCGAACTGGGATCGAACCCTTGGCTTTTCATATTTTATTTTCTTAAAACTTGAAGTGTCCATTCTGGAGTGCTATAGACCCTCATAATTATATTCATAGTTCAAAATGATAAATAATTTTGATAATTACAATAAGAATACCGATATGGAGACCGGTATGTATATATCCCTAAGAGACTAACCTGTCATCATTTACGGCAAGTACATCATGCAAGGCAGGCGAGACTGTGAAATTCCCATAATGCAGTGCGAGTTTGTTGACTTTGGCGTAAATTAGGGCTAACAGAAAGGGTCAACATCGGTAGCGATTGTGCGCGCATGACGACTAGTATGCGCGCAGTTGGCCGAGACCATAGAGATATATACTTCTCTATGGCCGAGACTCACTCTCTTTATGACGTCACAGTCAATATCGACATATCGAGTGATGTCACAATAGCACTATTGCTGCATGGGTCTCTTGCAGAGACAGGCAACTTGCAAAATTGCGGTCTGCTACAAATGCGTAAAATGGTTCAAATTTAGACAGATTGCTGCATTATGGTTACAAATTAGGTGTACGAGTGTTTCGTGGATATTAGTGTTCTGAAAAAGAAACATATTACTTGTGTAAAATGGGTTCTTATACGACCGACTAGTCTCTGTCAATTAAACGTTGTTTTCTTCCAAAATGATGAAGAAACTCAGCTCTGTGAATATCAATCTGATCTATGAAATATTTTAGCACCATCTATAACGAGAAAGTACGTAAAATGAAAGAAAAGGATGAATGAAAGTACCACAAAACCGTTACATTTGCTATATCTATATGACTTTGTATTTCATTGTGTAATAAATTAACAGTTTCAGCCTCCCAACGACCATGCACTCAGCCTGCAGGTTTCAGTTATAAAAATGCGTAAAATTTGTGAATGTCCATTCAAATAGCTAGTACCTCTCTCAAAAACAAAACGTGGCGCACTTTTCAACATAGACTGAGTTTATTTTAAAACGTTTTTCTCTAGAATTCGAAATTTCTTCCCAATACGGCTATACATGTATAGCGCATATAGTATTCGTCCATATACACCAATGATAACAGGAGCGCAATATGCTAATACATATTTTGTCGCCCAGCATATTTTGGAGTAAATGAATATATTTCAGCAGTCATATTTTGTCCACATGAGTAGGTTTTGTCGAGTATATGAGGATCAATATACCAACTTTTTGTTTAACAACTCTTTTTTGTTTAAAATAGGCCTAACTTCAAATGCCTCAGTCTGTTTTCTCAAATATTTTAGCGAGTTTTGGTTGTCTGGCCCTGATGGCTAGTGACAAAGTCTTGTAGGCCTGAGGTCCCTTGTCCGAGAGTGAGTCCACCATAATCCTCGCTTTGTCCTCCTTGCTCGCACCAGCCCTTATCCTGTTACAATCATCATTGGTTAGCGCGCCCTCTTGCTTCATGTAATCCACAAGTTCTTCAGTCTGTATGTTGAGGACGAGTGAGTCACGCCGCTTCAAGACGCGCTTCTGTTCAAACTCTCCATTCTCATTTTCCGAATTAGTGCAGACGGCCGTATTGTCCAACTTGCGTACGATATCCGAGTATCGCTCGCGGAGCGCGTACCGGAAGTGTTGATACGCCAGGGTGTCTTTGGTCATGATCAGGTTGAGAAGTCGCCGTGCGCGCTCCTGGCGGGACTTGACAGCGTAGATCTTATCGACTTCGAAGGACGTGAGGACCGTTCCGTTGAGGTATAGACACACGTGCTCCGCATCGATCTCGTCGATGATGACGTCTGCATTCTGTTGTAGCTTTTCCCTGTACCGGACGTCCATCTTGTTTTATCTCGCCTCTTCCCAGATGAAGGAGTGCCGCTGTTAACAGTAGTATAAAATCTAGAGAACAGGACTACAGTACCTGCAAGAGCGTAAACAGATAAATAAATTAGGCAACAACAACATATAATTAAGGGAAATGCTTCTGTATTAAATATTTTAAATCAATATGTGGGCAACATGACAATATTATGATAACGGTTCAAGTGGATGTGACGTCAGAAGCACAACATCCCTTGCGTAGTGTAAATAGTTCACTACAAAACTTTAGGAATTTTATTTGTCATATATTATATATTTGAAAGGTGTTGTTACGATTCAAGCTCTATTTGCTTATGTTTCATCACCTTTGTGTGTTCATTCTTCAAGCTGTATATTAGTTCCAACTTGTGGATAAAACAATGTTATATTCTTTTTCACGTGAAGTTAATTCAAATGGATTGTAAAATTGAAAATGATTTGTTATATTATATTAATTTTTCATGTGATGTTAACTTCAATGGATTGTGAAATTGTGAACATGCATGCATAAATAAATAAATAAATAAATAAATAAATAAGAATAGAAACGGACAAAAGAGGCACCAACATCAACATCCAGGACATTAATTATTTACTATAATTATTGTGTGGGCAACATGACAGTATTTTTTCTCCTGCTTTTTTTCTTAAAAAAGGAGCCATTGCGACACAAGTTGCTTACACTATAATGTTGTTAACAACGGTTCATTTCTAAGTGCACGGGCAAATGGTTAATAGAACGGCTGGCATCTCTTGCAAGAATAATAATAGTATACTAATCTAATTTCTCAGGGCGGCTTCATCAGCTTCAGTACTGTTCTCTCTTAGGGCCCTTCAATTATTATTACCCCAGAAGCTGTTAGGTACCCATTCTGTGGAGCGAGGCCAGTGTGAATTAACTTCTTGCCAAAAGACGCAAGTGCCGGGCTGAGGTTCGAACCGTCAACCCTTGGTTGATCAGAGTCAAGTGAATGAACCACTATACCTCGACACCTCCACTAAAGTAAACTTAAAGGTATAGACCGGTTTTGGAAAAGCCCCCTCTCAAAATATGAAATGGAAGCTCTTATTACCAATCATGTGAAAGAATATGTTTTGACTAATACGTGATAATACAAATTTTGCCGGGAAACCGCCTACTAATTGATATATTTGGTAAATTATCATATCTATCCGGCCTGGATTAAAATGCTGTGTTTAATTACTAGTAAATGCCAAAGAGTCTTGATAGGCAATTTGTGAGTAGCCTAGGCCTACTTTTCTGAGATTTATGGGAGTCTAGTTCTTTTTATAAATGGGTAAATAATCAGTTCTAGGTTTGCTTTCTAAATATTACAAGCAGAGGTTGCATTATGGTATTGAATATGTGATACAGTATTATAAACTGTATAAAATAAATAACAAGAATAGGCCTACATTCAGACATTTATCAAAAATAAAATACTTGTGTCTTGCACTTAAATTATTTCTATGATCTATGCTCACTTAACCGCATAAGGAAGAAAAGGAAGAAAGAAAAATGGGATTAGAAAGAAGAATAACATAGTTAAAAGGTAAAATATATATACAAAATAAATGAATGGAAGAAATAAAGAATACGGAATAGATACCAAGGAAGAAAGAAATGAATTGCAAGAAAATTGAAATGAAAAGAAGACAACAAAAAAAGGGAAAGGAGCAAGATAATATTGATATCATATCTTCAATCTTTTTTCTTTTATCTGCCTCTTGTTTTTGTTTAGGCCTAGCTACCATTTTTTTCCCTTTCCTTTCTCTTTATCTCTTACAAGTTCTATTTGGTTTCTTTCCTACATTGTTCTATCCTTACTCATATACTGTGCAGAAATGATTTCCTCCTATGGCGTATTTCATCTAGATTATATGTTTGTCATAAGCTGACAAAATAATGAGGGAAAGGGGGGGGGGGTGGGGGACTCGATGATAATTCATCATATGAAGGTTTACAATGTGATGTCCATTAGTTATATGCACCCACTGAATAACATCCATGTATAGGGTTGCTGCAGGAACCCCAACACCCACAGATCCCACGCATGATGAGACAAACTCGAGAGAAAACTACACATTCTTTCACATACATTAAAAAAAAAAAATCCTTTGATATCGCGCAGTCCCATACACATCTTTCTGTGTACAGTGCTTGTAACTTTACCAAGACTGGGCCAAATTTCTTATCATTGTGATGATTCTAGAACCTTGCAGTACACACCAATACTTATATGCTAGATGATCACCCTTCTCTGATCGATTTCACAACGTTTCTTTCACAATGCAATCGCATGACCAGAACTGATATATACCTTCAAGCGAGATTATTAAACAAAAGTGTTCCTTTATTATGACATGGTGACAAGCCTTTCGTGATGCACAATGTATTTATTATCACAAACAAACTCGGGATAAAGAATACATGGCACGTAAAAGGGAATCTTCAAAATAAAACTTCCATTTTTTAAAGAACATCTTTACACATATCAAACAACGAGTACAGATTTATAATAGGATATTTTGACCCCCCCCCCCCCAAAAAAAAAAATCCTCTTTTCCGTGGACAACTTTTGCGAGTACGTTTCATTCTCCGAGACTTTTCGATGCTTCTTGGTCGATGATCTAGTAATGGCATTACGAACAATATGCTTTAGTACAACAGTCAACAGCCACACATTATTCATCTAGAAGAAAAAGACGATACATATATAAAACTGATTTTGATACTTACCACAATAATCTAGACCTTACAACAATATTTCTCTCTTAAAAAGTCGATTATTGAACTCAAAATCAAGCATAGACCTTCAGTAAAGAGCGCTATCCACTTTATGATATCCACCTTATGAGCGCCTTCCACACGGTGAGTTCTATATTGCCCATGAAAAGCATTTTATTTACGTGAAATCGAGTTATGAACGAACACAGGTAAACGTATAAAATGACGTCACAATAGCAAACATGTCCTGAAAGCTGAAAAGACTCATGAATCTCTCATACTTCTTACGAACTGAAAAAAATAAGGACAAAGGTTACCGTGGTGAAAAATAAACACAGCAATATTTCGATTGTTATTCAAACAGACGGTTCGACGACACGCCTCGTTAATTTTTTTCCATGCATTTTTGATCATTTTCTTTTCCCGCTTTCTATCAATGAAAGACGAATTGCGAAAATGCAATGTCAAGTTACAATGCCTATTTTTAGAGACTCATCGGACCAAAACCGTTATCTGTTCCAACTCCCAGACCATATTTGGGATTCGTACTTTTTTTTCTGTCGCATCGTGTTTATTTAGGAAAAGAGACTGGAAGGAAGGAAGAAAAATAAAGAAGAATTGGAAAAAATAGTTCGGATTGATTCTATTAAACTATTCAAATAGTTTAGTTTAGGGGGGGGGGGGGGGGGGGGGGGAGGGGGGTACGTGATGTATCTTTGACTGAATAAATTTTCTCTTCTCCCTCGCAATATAATATAATCGACTATATGAGTATACGGAAATACGGAAGCATCTGTATCGCCACAAAAGTTGTTTATAATAATAACAATACATTGACTTGATACCAGCAAAAGAGCTGGCTCTATATCCATTCTGCATGATTCTAGCAAAACAGTAATAAAACACTCGGTACTTTAAAACATCATTTGGTAATTCTTGAGCCCCCTGTCTGTCTATCATAAGCCATGTATTGTATTTTGTCTCCCTCGAGAAAGACATGTGTGCTGTAGAATCTGCCTGGAAAGGGCAACTTTTTACACTGGCCACTTTATCTGTTTTCATTGGGTGGCCTTTATAGACAGGTTTGACTGCATACGAAAAGAAACGATATAAATACATGTAAAGTGCAATCTACCCGCCCCCCCCCCCCCAAACAAAAAAAGACAAAATATTAAACACAACCATCCACTTGTCTATACGACCATGAAGACATATTTCATTAATTCTTTTAACAATGCGGCCTATTGTAGGCCCGAATTGAATCGAATTTATTTGAAAACAATAAATTTCATCACCACGTTTATTTCCGTCATGAAGTGAATGTTTATCGATCGTCATGACTGTTTATTTTACTCTTTTTATTTCATAATTATTTGATTACGGAATCATAATTATGGTGACTATCAGATGATATAATTCAAAATAAAACACCCATCCTCATCATACCAATCTGAATTGATTAGAACATAAATAATCACAAAGGAGCTATAGAGTTGGAGGAATTATTAGTCAATGTATAATAATCGGAAACGAAAGGCACCATCAAAATGGTGAAAGTGAAATACAACTGTAATCATTTAGGCTTCAATTATCTGAACAGTCAAATAATTAAACATAAATGATACATTCTCGATCTCTTCTTCTATGACTATTTGTTTATGGTATAATTTGTACACATTTTCTCCTATGGCTATTCTGCACAAAATCAAGGGGTCAATGACTTCCATATATTAGGCGTGGCGTGCGTTGCAGCGAGCATTCAAACGGTAAAAACGCCAAACAGTCAAGGTCATCAATTCATTTTGCCGTTCCAGAAAAGCAGCAAACCAAGTTATTTTGACCTAGAAAATATGATATCGTATTTGATACATAAATGTGATGTTCGCTTAAAAATACAACATATTATAATACTCGTGGAAAAAGTGAAATATATATATATATCTACCTCTTCATATATCACTTGCACTGTTCGGCTTTCTGAAAAATATATACAAAAGTGGAATCCTTTCTCATTATCCTTGGTATAACTAGTAAGCAGTGCGCCGACGACGTGCGGGCATCTTAGAGTGAAATTATGTGTTTGTGCACCAGTCACATTCGCGATGTAAATATTATGGCCAATTTGTGTGGCAAAAACATTAAATACGATCCGTTTATGATGAATGTAAAATATAATTTACACATGATATAATCTTAAAATATTCTGCGATACTTAATATATATAATAATGACCCAAAATATTTATTTTTATTGGTTGGATTATCGTATAAAGGAATATTTGTATAAGTAGTGCTGACGTTACTATGGTTCCCATTCGGTAATCAAGATCTGACGTATGAACCGAACCACCATCGCATCAACGTGATCGGAAATACTTTGATTTAACTCAAACATTCTAGTTATATGTATTAAGTAAGACAATTTAAGCATAAAGTTTGACAGAATAAATCTAGAAGATGTCTGCAGCTCAAGCAGTTCGCCGACCGCGGATCCAGCAAGCGAGAACACACGATTATTTGTACGGTAAGTGAGCTAAAAATCGACGATTTGCCAGCTGCCATCTCGCCGCGCCACTGGCATAGCGCAGTGCAGTGTGCATAGAGCTAGAGTCTAGTGTGTGTTGTGTGTGTGTACTGAGCTGAGCTGTGTTGTGAAGGCTGAAGCTGAAATACGAGTGTAGTGGATGAGAACTGTGTTGGTATGATTGCATGTGATTCTTTGGTCGAAAGAGATTTCTGAACGTTATAGTTCTACATTCTAGACCTAGATCTATGCATGGATCTATGCGCAATCTATGTCATATTTGAGAAGAAAAAAATGGTGATAAAATTAAAAATATTCTTTGGACGTGATCTGAAACTTGAAAGTTGAAAGTAGAAATGATGGATGGAACTTGCGTGCAAATCAACAATGAGTCATGACAAGTCAATGCAATCTGACAAAATGTCAATTGACAATTCAATTGTTTATTTGTAAATGTCCCAATGGCAATGCCGATGAAAATGTTGAAAATTTGTACTTGTGTGCAACATGTAGGAACAGGAGAATTCTTGGCAACAAAACGCCCAACCATATCCTTGGAAGTGATCGAATTATGAGAGTCGGGCTAACTTGGACCAAAGAAAACTCGGCCCAGCTGCAAAAATGTTTTTGCAGGTTTAGGGTTAGGGTTAGTTTAAGGGTTAGGTTTAGAGTTAGGGTTAGCATTAGAGTTAGGGTTAGGGTTAGGGTAATATGACAAAAACTTACAGATTTTGCAGCTGGGCCGAGTTGTCTTTGGTCAGAATTAGCCCGGATTCGAATTATGATGTCCGCATTCATATTTTATGTACTAAACTATTTGGTCATGTTTGTGGGAGGTGCCCGCATACATTAATTATTTTATATCTTATCTAGTGACTAGTAGTGAGCTCAGGGAAAAAAATATTAACACAATTTCGGGGGCTACTTTTCAACCTTGCTTGCATAAAAATAAGACTCTTTAATTTGTTTTTGTAGGAACGGTGACGTTATGTGTATTACTAAGCCCAACTGCAATGACGACTCGACAACAATGCCCTTGCGATGATACCAATGAGTGGTTCAACCTTTAATAAAAGATAGAACAGATAAAACAAATTATCAGCATGGCTGATATACATATGCATCACGCAATTAAACAATCAAGTTTGATATAACAAACTGTCTTCCAAATGCATAGCACCGAATAATAACAAATAAATGACATTATTATCCTTGATTCCTGTATCAAAATAATCACTCCATTCTTCTGTATGCCTACCCTTTTCATGCAAATTGACCTGACCTACTTTCTGTCATTTTGGGCTAAAATTTCCCTTTTTACCTCGAATGCTACTTTCCCTAGCTTACTAAGTTTAGACCATCTTCTGTTCATAATTAAATCATAATCATATTCTGTCATACATTCATAGAGCTTCTTGCTCATTCATAATATCATAACCTTACTCGGATATTTCGTACTTTTCCAGCATGAATTATCTTATACGCTACTTACACCAAAACTTATATGTGGTACATTTACATTCAAAACGTAAGGATGTTCTATGATTCTAATCTTATTTCATACATCACATCAATCCACCATTATAATCACCATTAACATCAGGCAAAAGAGTAAATATTGACCTATCATAATATGCAGTGATTTTCTACTTACAACATTGGGCTGTCTCAGGAAAACAAAAATTACAGTAGACTTTCAGTGTAATAAACATGTCCAAAACACGTAAATCAGTAGCTCCACAGAATCAAATCCCGCCCTCTACGACCTGAATGCAGAATCAAGCTAAAAGCCCCGCTTCTGACGTCACAATATCAAATTGGGAAAAACTCGTATCAACATCCCGGCCCCTTAAATTAACCGAATACTTTGAATTTACCAAACTTTTCACTGCCGACATGTATAACAAAACTGTCACTCTCTTGAAATTTCAAGACTTCGATAAATACAGACTTCCCTTTAAATCCAAACAAGGTGGTTGCTATGGAAACATATTTCCTAACCGAATAAATACAGTCCCTTTAAATCCAAAAAAGGTGGTTGCTATGGAAACATATGTCCTTACCGAATAGCAGAACACTAATAATATGACAATAAGGACATACTACCTGTATTTCTTTCCTTAACTTCTGATTACAAAAACTATTGTATTACCATCAGAATACTATCTTTAGAAACTGAATTCTAACTAGAAATGAGTTATGCTTCAATTCAATTAAACATTTCCTTATCTTCTGATTACAAAAAACTATTGTATAACAATCAGAATACTATCTTTAGAAATTGAATTCTAACTAGAAATGAGTTGTGCTTCATTTCAATTACACATTTCAGCAAGTAACTACGAAACACAAAGTATCTGTATAATATCACTGTAGTAAAGTCTCTTCTTGTTGAACCGAATCTAAACCGAATCCATTTATGCGAAACTAGATGCTGCGTCCACAGAAGTTGAATGTTTCTTGCTCAACGCTACCTAAACTAGATGCTGTGTCCACAGAAGTTGAATGTTTCTTGCTCAACGCTACCTAAAGTAATCCCTATCTTGAATTGAACTGGAATTATTCTGTATCAGCTCTAAAACAATAAATCAAAATGGCTAACTTCTCGAAGTCGTCTATCGCGATTCCTCTTGCTCGAGAAGTAAACAAAGCTTCGCGATGGGTCTGACGAGTGTCGACGTTGCAGTCTTAACCTTCACGCTACGTACATATCCCCGCTTACCAGGGTACACTTCTAAAACGCGTCCCATCAGCCAGCAACACCTCGGCACAGTTCCGTCTGCGATGAGAACCACGTCACCAACCTGAAGATTGCGTTCAGGCTGCTGCCACCGCTGACGTTGCTGTAGACTAGGTAGATACTCCCTAATCCACCTCTTCCAAAAGAGATCAGCCAGGTACTGCATCTGCCTCCAACGTCTCCTGGCGAAGACATCTCCCTCAGTGGACTTACTCGGAGGTGGTGCTGAGGTCTGCTTCATGTGTAGCAGACTGCTGGGCGTGATGACTTCCAGATCTCCAGGATCATCAGAGACACGAGTAAGAGGCCTGCTGTTAATGATTGCCTCTACCTCGCACATCAGAGTGTGAAGCTGCTCCTCCGACTGACATGTCCTTAAATACTGCTCGTTGAGAAGAGCATGCAGTACTTTCCTGACTGTTCTTATCTGCCTCTCCCACACACCGCCATGATGTGAGGCCCCTGGCGGGTTGAAACTCCAATCTATACTGTGATTAGCCGTGAAGTTTGAGATTTCATCAACGTTCCAATCACTCAGTGCCTTCCTCAGCTCAGCTTTAGCGCCTACCAAATTGGTGCCATTGTCCGAGACCAACCTCTTTATTGGTCCTCTCCTGCTCATCATGCGTCTGATGGCATCAATGCATGAGCTGGTGTCTAAAGAATTGGCAACCTCGATGTGGATAGCTCTAGTTGTCATGCATGTGAATATCACGCCGTATCTCTTTCTTACAGAGCGCCCACACTTGATCTCGTAAGGGCCAAAGTAGTCCATCCCCACATGAGTAAATGCTGGCTCATCAGCTTCTACTCGGAAGGCAGGTAGATCAGCCATTTTCTGCTTGCCGACCTTGGCCTGGTAGCGACGACAAGTAACACACTTTCTCACCAAGCCTCTCACCAGGACCCCAGCTCCCAGAATCCAATAGTACTGCTTGAGCTCTGCCAAAACATGATTTTGGCCTTGATGACCAACCTTCTTGTGTATGTGCCATACCAACAGTGCTGACACATGATGCCTTCTAGGCAGTATCACCTGATGCTTTGCAGTGTCTGGGATCTGTGCACTTCCAAGCCTGCCTCCTACCCTCAGTAGACCATCTTGCAAAATAGGATCTAACTTTGCAAGCCTCGACCCTTTCTTCACGGTTCTCTCTCGTCCCTGTGGATCTCTTACTCTCTCCCTTAAGGTTGTCATCTCCTCATCGAACGACTCGGTCTGAATATGCTGAAAGATGGCATTTTCAGCATAGTTCAAGTCCTCCACTGTCAAGTGTCTGCTCAATTCTTTAACTGGAGTACAGTTCTTTACATTCCTTCTAAGGGTTTCCTTTAACCTCAGCCACCAAGCTACCGCTCTGCGTAGTCTCGTCCAGGAAGAATAGTGCATGAAGAGCTGGTCGATGCACTTCTTGCCCTCACTTGTAGCAAAGATCTGGACTACAGGCTTCACCTCTGGATCGTCCTCTCTGATCCCATCCTTCTCTATGGGACATGTGGGCCATCTCTCCTCCGGCTGTTGTAGAAAGGCTGGTCCCACAAACCACTTCTCCTCATCTTTCAGATTAGACGGTGACATGCCTCTGGATACGATGTCCGCCGGATTCTCCGTTGTGCCAACATGTCTCCATTGGTCTATCTCTGTGGCATTGTGTATCATAGCCACCCTGTTTGACACAAAGACACGGAACCTTCTATGTTCATTCTTTATGTAGTGCAACACTATCATACTGTCAGTCCAAAAGTATGATTTCTTCACAGGCAGGTCTAGCTCTCCTCTTATCACGACATCCATATTCACAGCAAGTGTAGCTGCCATCAATTCTAGTCGAGGTATGGTAACGGTCTTTACTGGAGCAAGGCGTGACTTGGCCATGATGATACTGCTATGCACCTCTCCTTCCTCATTCCTCATCACTAGATATGATACAGCCCCGTAGGCTACTTCAGATGCATCAGAGAAGTTGTGGATCTCGTAATCAGTTACCCTGCCAAAGTCGTGAGGCTTGACACATCTACTGACCTCAACTCCTTCCATCTGTGGAAGTTCCTCAATCCAAGCCTTCCATTTCTTTGCATCACTGTCAGGGATAGGCTCATCCCAGTTCAGCTTCTTCCGGGTCAACTCCTGAAGAATCAACTTCCCTCTCAGTGCAAATGGGCTAGCATATCCCAAAGGGTCGTAGACAGAAGAAACAACACTTAAGAGTCCTCTTCGTGTTAAAGGCTTGTCCTTCACCTGAATCTTGTAGACAAAGCTATCTCTTTCTACATCCCATATCATACCAAGTGCACGCTCTATTGGTAGGGCATCAAAGTTCAGGTCGAGTCCAACCACTTGCTTGGCCCGATCTTGTACTGGTATGGTTTGCAGAACTCTTGTGTTGCTACTCATCCACTTAGCGAGTCGAAATCCACCCTTCTGCAACAAGGTTCTCAATTCTGATGCCAGTCTTATAGCTTCATCTTCCTCTTCAACAGAGACCAGGCAGTCGTCTACGTAGAAATTCATCTCTACTACTCTTGGTGCTTGTGTATTGCACTGATCTCCATAGTCCTTTGCTGTTTGCCGCATGGCAAACGAGCAACAGCTGGGGCTCCATGTGCCCCCAAACAGGTGCACACACATCCTGTAGGTCTTAGGATCTTCATCCACTCTTCCATCAGGCCACCACAAGAAGCGAAGTACATCTCGTTCATCTGGATGGACTGTTACCTGGTGGAACATGGCTTCCACATCAGCCATGATGGCAATTGGTGCTCGACGAAATCGAAGAAGTACACCAGTCAACTTGTTGGTCAGATCCGGCCCTTGCATCACCACATCGTTCAGACCAACTCCTAAGCACTTGGCAGCACAATCAAACACAATCCGAAGTTTGTCTGGCTTCTTCGGATTTATCACTGGGTGATGTGGTAGGTACCAACAAGTTCCATTTGGCGGTTGAGTTTCATCAACTTCCTCGGCGTAGCCCTTGGCAACTAGGTCAGCCATGCCCTGTGTATACTTAGCATGCATTGCCGTATCCCTGAGAAGTCGTCTTCTAAGTGAATGGAGTCTCTGCTGGGCCATCCATCTATTGTCACAAAGTGGCGGGGGTCGTTCTTTGAATGGTATGGGCAGTTGATAGTGACCTCCATTCATTACCACATTATCCTCCCATAGCTTCAATACCTCTCGGTCCTTGACTGACATTCCTTTAGCATCACAATGGAGGGTTTCAATGCCTTCTAGAGACCAAAACAGCTTACATTGGTCTTCAAGGGATATTTCATCTGAGATATAGTGTGACGTCACAGCCATCCTCCTACCATCACTCTGAACCGGCCCATTCAGGGTCCACCCCAGCACTGTCCTTACTGCATAAGGGTCTCTTGGCTCACCACGTCGTATCTCGAGGGGACAAATAAGCTCTGGATAATCTTGCCCAATCAGCAGATCCACCTGCAGTTTGGTAGTCGATGGAAAGTCGACATCTGTGAGATGTTGGAGTTTGTCAACATCCTCCTTCTTTAGCATGTGATCTGGATTAATGTTAATGTCTGTCTTGGTATAGACTTTAGGGAGATTCACCATCCTGGATGATGACTTTGCTGCAACTTTCAGGCTTACAACACTGGTCTGAAGTTCGCTGTTGGCTCTTTCCAGAGTTGAGACAGACACTATACTGGACAATCCACTTGCCTTCACTCTTGCTGCCAACTTCTTAGTACAAAAGGTACTTGTCGAGCCTGAATCCAACAGTGCTAGAGTCTCTACACCAATATTACTGCCTGCCGCATAAACCCAGACAGGAACGATTGGCAATAGCACCTTCATGTTCCCGGCCCCTGTGACATGACTCTCAATCTTCTCAGGTGAAGGACTAACAGCTTCCTCTTGTGCTTGCTGAGGTTGTTCTGGTTTCTGCTGATGGAGAAACTTAGTATGTTTTCTGTTGCATCCGTAAACTGAACATACCCTCTTTAGTTTACAGTATCTCGACATGTGTCCCTTCTCCAAACAGTTAAAACAAAGCCTGTTTTCCCTCACCAGTTTCAGCCGGTCATCTAGCTGCATTCGTTTGAACTTGTCACAGCCAAACAGACTGTGCGATTCCTTGCATATCACACACAGCTGTGGTGTCACATCATTGCCTGTGGCTGTCGTGGAGAAAGCACCCTTCTTCAGTCCTGTCGACTTCTTGTTCTGGGAGGTGCCTCTACCGCCCTGATCCTTGGTAAGAAGCCTTCCGTAGACCGGATCATTCTCCTCATCGGCTGCACCTTGGACAAAATCCACCAGGTCAAATATGTTAGGAAGTCTATCCTCTCGCCTGATTCTTCGTACCACACTCAGCCATCTCCCGCATAAGTATAGTGGTAGTCGTTCAACTATCTGGACAAGGACTAACTGTGGTGACAAATCGCCAATGTAACCCATGGCATCTAAAGTCAGTGAGCAAACTTGCAGTTCATCTGCGAATTCTCTTAGGGCCCTCTTGTCCCGTCCGGTGATCTTCCGCCCTCCGGTCACTTTCCTGATCCATGCATCAGCTATCATGAAGGGTGTACCAAACCTCTCTTGTAGCATGGCCTTCGCCCTCATATACCCTTCGCCAGATGGCATAATACTACAAGGCTGCAAGATTTTGCGGGCATCTCCTTCGCAGTAGTATAGAAGGCGGGTCAGTTTGGCACTGTCCGGGATACTTGTACAGTCTATTGAGTTCTCAAACGCCCTCCAAAATTCCCAATATTTAAGAGGGTTGCCATCATACGTCATCATTTGTGTTTGAGGCACATTAAGAGACTCCAATAATTGCCTCTGTTGTTTCTGTCCCTCCTGCAAAATCTGCAGCAACAAAGCCTCCGTTGGCTTCGTACTCTGTTCAACCTGGGTTGGCGTTGGCATTCCAGAGTCCAGCGGATAAGCCAACGTTTCATTCACTTCAACTGGATGTTTCTGAGGAGCACTAGCTTCACCCGACAATAGCCTATCCGCTTCATTCAAATAGACTTGTGTCTCAGCATCAGATATTTTCATCCTGGTATCCATATCTAGCTGAGCTTTACGCTGTTTCAAAGCTAACTCCTCCTTTTCCAGCGCCATCTTCTGTTTCAGTGCTTCAGCCTCAACAGCTAAAGCAGCTCTACGTGCCATAGTCCGCAGTCGCACTGAAGATGTAGTGCTCCCACACTGGCTGGCCGAATCTTCAGGACGGACTCCACCCTCAGGGTCTCCTTTGGCATTCTTTTGTCCAACAGTACTCATTGTAACAGCCGGTCTGTAGTCTGATGTGGACCTGGAAGCTGTTGTTGAACTGATGTAGGAACGGTGACGTTATGTGTATTACTAAGCCCAACTGCAATGACGACTCGACAACAATGCCCTTGCGATGATACCAATGAGTGGTTCAACCTTTAATAAAAGATAGAACAGATAAAACAAATTATCAGCATGGCTGATATACATATGCATCACGCAATTAAACAATCAAGTTTGATATAACAAACTGTCTTCCAAATGCATAGCACCGAATAATAACAAATAAATGACATTATTATCCTTGATTCCTGTATCAAAATAATCACTCCATTCTTCTGTATGCCTACCCTTTTCATGCAAATTGACCTGACCTACTTTCTGTCATTTTGGGCTAAAATTTCCCTTTTTACCTCGAATGCTACTTTCCCTAGCTTACTAAGTTTAGACCATCTTCTGTTCATAATTAAATCATAATCATATTCTGTCATACATTCATAGAGCTTCTTGCTCATTCATAATATCATAACCTTACTCGGATATTTCGTACTTTTCCAGCATGAATTATCTTATACGCTACTTACACCAAAACTTATATGTGGTACATTTACATTCAAAACGTAAGGATGTTCTATGATTCTAATCTTATTTCATACATCACATCAATCCACCATTATAATCACCATTAACATCAGGCAAAAGAGTAAATATTGACCTATCATAATATGCAGTGATTTTCTACTTACAACATTGGGCTGTCTCAGGAAAACAAAAATTACAGTAGACTTTCAGTGTAATAAACATGTCCAAAACACGTAAATCAGTAGCTCCACAGAATCAAATCCCGCCCTCTACGACCTGAATGCAGAATCAAGCTAAAAGCCCCGCTTCTGACGTCACAATATCAAATTGGGAAAAACTCGTATCAACAGTTTTGCATTGAACTCCTTGGGGTGATGCAAAACTTAATATTTCTTACAAATGGTTAGAAATCACTGCTTTATGAATTTTCAGATATAAAACTTTTTGATAAAATATAAACTTCTTCAATTAGAGGTCTACTGTCTGAAATCAACCGTCTAGACATGCCATATAACCGTGATAACCAATCTGTCTGGACACATGGTAGATTCTATGTGGGTGTATAGTTAACAACTAAATTATTCATACCCTCACCAAATTTTGTAAGGTTTTAAGTATGCAATGAGGCCTACTGTAGGTCACAAATTTACTGAGAGGAAGAAGAAGGATGACAAGAAGAAAGAAAGAAAGAAGAAGAAGAAGAACAAAAGGGAATTCACTGAGAAGAATAAGAAGAAGAAAGAAGGAGAAAGAAAGATGATGTGTTTCAGTATTATTGAGTCATTCTTTTTGTTCCTTCTTTCACAGACCCCATTTATACATTATCAAGTGAAAGAGACCATGGCAGAGCTACATTCAGAGCTAATACTACCGTGGAGAGAGTGGTAAGTCTTTTGAAACAACTAAAAACAAAACAATAAAACAAATACACATACACACACTAAGTGCATCAAACCAGAACACCAGCAACAGCAACAACAACAACAATAACAACAACAATTCAATTATTTAATTCATTTTAATAATGGTAGTTACATTGCATTTCAGCCAAAGACTGAACAAAGCTTGTTTACTATGCAATGTTTACATTATCTCGAATATACATTAACTTCACAGCAATAAAGGAACAAAATCAATATTCCTGATGTGAACAGTGCACTTACTTCTTCCAAAGAGACATTACATTTAAAAGGAAAATGTGATAGAGGAATCTGTTTATATCTTTAAAAACTGTAATGTAAATAGAACCAACTTAATTTGAGGTAGGAACCATAACAATAAAATAGTATTTTTCTGTGTTGAAATATATGAAGTTAACCTGCTTGCAAAGAACTACATGAGGGAGACAAAAATGTGCTTTAAAAAAAATTTTGACGAAGTTTTTTTTGGTAAGTGTTATTTTTTCTGTTCTGCTGATCACTAAAGCATGTTTCACACTATTATTTTCTATGGCCCATGGGTATTGCAGCAGTAGATGATAATTGTCTGGATGGCTTCTTGTGAAACTTCCTCGTACAACCTATGATCTGTTGAATACCTCTGCTAAACTAACTGTCTTTTTTTTAAAACTCCATCTACAGGGTCGAGTTCCCCAGTTCAACACCATGTTCAGTTCCCTTCGCCACTTCCCAAGGTTCAACGTCCGCCTGGATCCCACCGACCCCGTACCTCGCTTTGTGTCCAGGCAGTGGAGGGGCTACGCAGACCAGGGGAGGGAGGCTCTTGTCAGATATAAGACGTGAGTATTGCAGGGGTGGATCAAGGTTTATGTAAAGGGGCAGGGAGGGGGAGGAGGTGGGGAGGTGCCCTTTTTTACAAAAGTGTGAGCACACTTTTTTTGGTGGCAGTGATTTACACGGAAAATATATCTGTGACAAGCAACCAAAATTACAACAACTAAACAAGGAAAGAAATTTTGCATGAAAGGTAATAACAATTTTGGTCGAAAAATTTAGGGAGGGAGAAGGGATCATTGCACCCGAGCTCTCTTTTTAGTTTTCCTAAGCTAATTTCAATGACAAATGTATTTTGCCCAATATTATGTGTGCTAGTCATATGTACTGTACTGCATGCTGGATAATGTTCAGCAAAGTGTCAATCACAATGGTTTTCTGCATGCACTCGACTCCAGGCAGGTGCCTAATGTCTCCTGGGTAAAGGACGGCAAATGTAGATAAAATGACTAATGACTTGCCTCTCTCTCATTCATCTTTTCCCTAAACTAATTGCAATTGATGACAAGTGTATTTTGCTCAATAATATGTGTGCTACATGTATAGTCATACGTACTGCATGCATGCTGGGTAATCACAGCAGGTGCCCATTGTCTCCTAGGTAAAGGTTGGCAAATGTAGATAAAATGACTCATTTATCCTCTTCACTCCAGATTCAACTATGCCCCTGACCTGAAGGTGCCCACCGTTCACCATCCCGAAGCCCAGGTCGGAGGTCAGAATCGCTACAAGTACTTCAGACGTCCCATCATACCATTCCTACAACAAGTCCCTCCAGAATTTGTCATGGACAACTCGTAAGTGAAGCTAACTTCTAATAATACTAATGTATCTACTTTAAACCATAGTAGTTCAAAGTTTCCTAATGGTCTAAATGTGTCAGTTTTTCCTTTGCTAATCAGAAACAGTTATTTGTAGTTCTTCCTCACTCTTTTATAGTAAGAAAATAACTTTGTTATTAAAGGCATCGTTTAACAATGTTAAATCTGAGATGCACGGCCCTACCTGTTATCAGTGTCTGTGATATGGTGTAATATTGAAGCCCTAAAAAAAAAAAGTGCCTCAACAAACTAAAAATCTTTGAGTGAATGGTTTTCCCATACTCGTTTTTCCCAATAAACTGTAGTGATATGAAAACCGTTTGGCAAACGCAAAATTTGGTTTCGATTTCCAATCATAAATATCTTGATAATCAGACAAGCGATCGGCTTGTAAAAATCATGGGATTCCTGACTGACTTAAAGGTTTATAATTATCATTGCAGCATGAGCTAAATCCAGAATTTAGTTTCATAATCTGAGGAAATGTTACAGAGTCGCTTTAAAACATAGTAGTTCAGAGTTTTCTAACGGTCTAAATGTATCAGCTTTTCCTCCGCAAATCAGAAACTATTATTTCTAATTTTTTCACTCTATCGTAGTAAGAAAATTAAAAAATGTTACTATTATATTCATATATACAGTCAAACCTGCTTTAGTGACCACCTGTCTACAGAGACCACATCCCCCCTCAAAAATGGTTTCTCATTGAAACAGGTACTAAAGGAACCTGTCTTCAAAGACCACTTTTTGTGTTTCCCTTGGGCAGTAGCTATAGACAGGTTTGACTGTATATTAGTGATCAGACATTTACCTTTTGCATGTATTTGTTCCTTATTTCTATAAACTTGATGTACTTTTTTCTTGTCATTATGTATTTTCTTGAATATTACTGTAACGCCAGTGGAAACCAAATTTCTATGTAACTTGTTTGCAAAGACCAAAAAAATATTTTGTATCTTGTATTGTATCTTGTTGGGTCATCCATAATGAGACATGTTTTTAAAATTGATTTGCATGTATAGATTGGCACATATGGGAGGTCAGTCTGATCAGGTAATGCAGGAGAGAGCCCCGACCCCTCTCCACAGGACCGTGGAGATCCAGACAGACTACAGGGAGAGTGAGACCCAGACAGACCCCTACACGCCGGAGTATGTCGTTAGACCAGGATCTCAACCAGAGCTCCTCACATTGGCAACACTCTCATTCGGTATGAATCTCATCAAGACATTGGATATTATATAATGAAATGATAATAGACCAGTTCACGGTTAGCACATGTCCCAAATGACCTCAAATATCCACAGATCTTCAAAACATGAAGATGTCCCACTTTGTACATACTTAAAATAATACAATTTTTAAAAATGGGACATTTTCTTGCTCACTCTGTGTATATAGGATTAAGCAATGTCCCTACGGCAAAACTAGTTTGAGTAAAAAAAAAAAAAGTTTACGGTTAGCACTGACATGTCCCAAATGACCCCGAATATCCACAGATCTTCAAAACATGAAGAGGTCCCACTTTGTACATTTTGAAATAATCACTCCAACAGCGATGGAGGCGCTACACAAATAGCCTTTTTTTCCCCTTCAAAGAATACTTCCACCTGTGTATCATGGAGTGCACTGCTTGTGCATAAATCAATAAGGATTACATAACTTCCATGAGCATGTATCCAGTATTTTGTCTCCGTGTAATACACAATTTGTTCAGTAATGACCTTTATCTGCTCATGCTCAGACTGCAACCGTAAACTGGCTTATTGTGTGTATATTTATGCTACAATAACTACTTTGCTCCAAAATGCTCAGAATCCATGAGATTTTCTATCTAATTTTCTCAAATTTTAAGTAAGTAAAGAGATGACAAATCTTGAACATCTTAGATTGAGAGAATATTTTAAACTCTGAAATAGATGTTTTACTTTGTTTTGCAAAGTGTTCATGTGACTGCATTGGGAATTACATTCTTCTAAAATTCAAAGTGATCCTTAGTTTTCCTTTAGAAAATGAATCAATATAGGATCATGTACTCGATTAGCATGACCTTGTTGCTATGGTAACTGTGAAGCGAACCTTACCCTCATAAAAATATGCTAGTATCGAGTCTTGATTAAATGTAAAATTGGGAAAGAGGATATATTTCTTTTCGTCTTTTTCCATTTTAAAGGCATTGTTTAGCAATGTTTTCAGTTGTACAAATCCAGTTTTACCCTACTCATTTTCTAATTCCAATCATTAATATCTTGGTAATCAGACAGACGATGAGCTTGTAAAAGTTATAGGATTCCTGACTGACCTAAAGGTTTATAATTATGATTGCAGCATGAGCTAAATCGAGGATAGTTTTTAGAATCTGAGGCAAAGAGGGGCATTTCCAAAAAACTGGTCTATACCTTTAAGAGATTAATCTGTTATAACTTCAATGGCTCATCCTATTTTCAGGTCATGGTTTACCAGCGGGCCTTGCTGAGGTGGAGATGATCGAGAGAGCTAGGGCTAAGAGAGAATGGGAGGCGACTCTTCCACCCCTGAGTGACGTGACTCAGCTGGAGAAGAGAAAGAGGATGATGGACGAGATGGAGAGGAAGGAATGGACTCTCAGAGAGGAAGAGATTGAGAAGTAAGTCATGGTACAATGCTTCAGAAGTAACAAGAACTGTTCATTCAGGCTTTGTTATCAAGAAATCCTAATTAAAGGGCCTTTGTATTACTAGCGACACTCCATATTCTCTGTCAACATTTCGTCAGCCGGCTGGCAGAAGGGCATTAGCGCGCGAGCGACTCGAAAACTACTTTTTGAATTATTCGCATTTAAAGATTTGTTTTATATTTAAACTGCTTTTCCTCCCGAAAAATTGATTTCAAACTTAAAAGACTAATAGAAATGTTATAGTAGAACAGGGCCACATTTTTTCCCTCAGAAATAAGTCAGTTTTTATAAATGTTTGAGGCGATTTAGTGCTAACGCCCTTCTGCTTAATGCTTCATTTTTGACCTGAAGTTTGAGCTAACGCCCTTCTGCCAGCCAGGCCACGATTTGCTTTGACCCTTAAATTCACCTCTATGAATTTGTTATTAAATTTGAATACTTCTCTCTGTATTTCAGATTGCAGGAGGCCAGACTGCAGCTCCTGCAGAAGATCCTGAAGGAGCGTGAGGAGAACCACGCCAAGCTGAGCGCTAAGAGACTGGACAAGCTCTGGGCCAAGAAGCAGCAGGAGAGGGAGAGGAAGGTCGCTTGGATCCGCAAGGAACATGTCAAATGTAAGATTTAGATGTTGATGGTAATGGTGATGATTTTGGTGATGTTAATGATGATGATGATGGTGATGGTGATGATGAGGATGGTGGTGATGAAGATGATGGTGATGATGATGATGATGATGATAAGGACGATGATGATAATGATGATGGTGGTGATGATGATGATGATGATGATGATGGTGGTGATGCTGATGATGATGATGATGGTGATAATGATGATGTTGATGATGGTGGTGATGATGATGGTGGTGGTGATGATGATGATGGTGGTGGTCTGTTGTGATTATCATGATGATGATTAGACTGGCAATGATGTGATTGTGTTGCAAAAGCTGGCAATAACAGTTGTTATGGCATTGATGGGGCTATATTCTTCAGAGCGATTTTGCTTTACAAAATTGGAGACCTTTCCAAATTTAATTTATAGTACAAGGTCAATATGAAACCATTTTTTTCTCTCTGATCTTGTTTTTAATACCACATTCTCACCGTTTTCATAAACAGCTATACGCAAGCTGACCGTGAAGAGGCGGAACGTCGAAGGCAAGCTGGAGAGACGTGACATCACCAAGGACTATTCTGCGTTCGCTTCAGAGGCCTACGCCCCTAGGACCAGACATGGTGTCTTCCTGGACAAGGGCTCTGAACAGTACACGGTCAAGAGCAAGTACATCACTACATACCAAGGTATGTGATAAGAATATACAAATCATACACAGCAGCGAGGGCATTAGTAAGAATTATCGCCTTGGGCGTGTTAGACTGTTCCCAAGGTACCTTGTGTGGGTACTTTTACTAATGCTCAAACAAAATGATGTGTGCTATTTGCTTTATAAGACTATATTTTATTTGTTTTATAAAATGATGTTTTATAACATGATTTTACTATATGACCGGTCATTAGTATACAAATAATACACAGCAGTGAGGGCATTAGTGAGAATTACCCATACGAGGTACATTTGGAACAGTCCAACACGCCCGTGGTGATAGCTGGGGGTGTTTAGACTGTTTTGAAGGTACAGAGTGTGGGTAATTTTACTAATGCCCAAACAAAATGATGTGTATTATTTGTTTCATAAGATTTTTTTTATTTGTTTTTTAAGATTATGTTTTATTTGTTTTTAAGATTATGTTTTATTTGTTTTGTAAAATGATGTTTTATAACATTATTTTACTAATTACCGGTCATTATCAAAATTACGTACAATAAATACCCCAAATGCCCAGATGTAGCCTCATGGACATAATTTCTAGTCATTTCCGCGACTTACATACTTCTGATGTATTGAATTACTTTGCAAAATATTTTCATAAGTGATATTCAATAGTAAAATTTCACTTGTTTTCATTTGTCATTTTATTGTTCTTTGTTATTGGGGGTGAGTGCTCAGATATTCATGCTCATCTTTATTATTGTCATCATTTTCAGGTCTGCTAGAGCTTGAGAACTCGCTCCCAGACTTTGTGACCCAACCCAGAGTGATCGCTCCAAAACCCAAATCCTCTGGCAAGGCTGGCTTCATCAAGCGAGAGCAACGGAGACAGAATGAACTCAATGAGATATACAAAGGTAAGACTAGTAATTTACAATTTTGACCACGGCCCCATATTAAATATAAGAATTAAAATGATAAAAAACAGAAACAGAAACAATTAGAGTAGGAGTTAATAGATTATCAAAACTATTGGCTAGCAGGTATGGGTATCACAGTATTCACATTTCCTTGCTAATGTTCCTCACTAATGAGGACATTGGCCTACGAATATTGCTTTAAAGATGAAGTTGAGTTCTGGTCACGCAATTGCATTGTGAAAGAAACGTTGTGGAATCGATCAGAAAAGGTTGATCATGTAGCATTTGATTATTGGTGAGTACTGCAAGGTTTTGGAATCATCAAAATGATGAGAAAGCATTTGAGGAGCCATGCTTTTCAGGGAACATTTTTTATCTGATGTTCTTCCACACTTGCATAATAACAATGATAATAACGCGCACAAATTATTGTTCACCTCTTCCCAGAACTCAATCTTCTCTTTAACCCTTGTACTTATTGCCAACCTTTGCAGTATTTGTAAATAAGAACAGAACTGTCAAGAAACATCTTTGTGGACTTGTCTGGCCTGATATTCTTTCACACTGATGCTATGACATTTACCTTGGTGGCACTTGCTCCAGGCTTTATTTCTTCAAATGTGTAGGGTTAGGGTTGGTAAAATTTGGTATATTAATAATAATAATAGTGGCTGCTTGTATAGTGCACAGGTCCACCTTTCAATGCTCATGGCGCTTAGGGAAAAGTACAATATTTACAGCGAAAAAAAAAAAAAAGTTTTCAGTTGTGATTTGAATGTTTCTGTTGACGACAGTTGAGGTATTTGTAGAGGGAGTTCATTTCAGAGTTTCAGACCCATGGCTGACAAAGCCCAATCGACCCAAGCATGTTTTATGGTATGGGGTTAGGGTAAGGGAAAGGTATACTAGGGCTGGATCTAGGGTGTAAGTATAGGAATTCAATTAGTGCGGGAAATTACTGCAGAACAATTGTCACAGGAGCAAGCGTCAGGTTTGCTAGATGGATGTTGCTGTGTTTCTCAATGTTTATTCCAGTTTTTATTTGATTTTACCCTCTTTTCTTTATATTTTCATATTTCATTTAATACTTCAATTTCTTTCATTGATGAATTTGTTGACTTTTAGGCATTAAAAGTAAACCATTGGTCAAAGGTAGGTTGATAGTGTAGTTTGCAGTTTCTGTCAATCACTGCCGATATTTGCTGTCTCTTTCCATGTATTGAAGGGCTAGCTGGCTTCAGTATGAATGTATCTGTTATGTTGCCACATAATTTTTCTTTTGTTTCTACCTGTAAAACTTTGTGATCGAGAAAGAAGATGTGTTTGGAATGGAGGAATGATGAGAGTAGGTTGGTAGTAATGGAAGGGTCTGCACATCTTGTATTGTTGATGAATTTGTTAAAGGTAATACAAAGTCTTGGGAAATTTGGGAAAATGGCCAAATAGCGCTTCTTTAAAATGTTGATATATTTGGATGCCCCTGGCCTGAGGATGTACTATAAGCACTAGAAAAATTGGCCCCTAAAACACTTCTGCCTTCGAGAAAAATTTGATATAATAATTTACTGGTAAAGTTTGATAAATTTCAAATAGCTTATACGGCCATCCAATGGTTGCTGAGACCATAAAAATGTCAGAATATGCAGTTGTGATATATAATTTCCAAACGGGAATAGCAAATCGGCTGATTATTAGTAAAGAAACACTGTTTTAAAGCTAAATTGATATCTTGACCTTGAGAGTGAGCTATACAACATAAAAACTTTATTATTTACAATTTCATCACTTTAGATTTGATTTCAACCGTAACAACGATCACTGAATATTGTAGGGTCGCATACGCTTCCAATATGGTCATTTGAACCAAATTCATGACCCTATACCAAAACTTTGTATTACCTTTAAGATGTACTTTGTTTCTCTTAGGTTGGCCAATTGTTTGAGTTTATGTTAAGAAAAGGTGATTTGTGCAGTTGTTTGCTTTCTTTATGTAAGTTTTTATGTAAAAATAGTTAAGGAAGAGAAAAGAAAAGAAATAGAAAAAATGAAACAACAAATAAACAAATAAAAAAAGTAAATCTATATGTTTTTTTTTAATCTGACAATTTCCTATTCTTTATCTAAATGTATACGTTTTTAAAGAAATTGTCTCCTGAATTTTGTGGTGACTTGTTATTTCCTGCAGTGTCGGTCAATGTAAATTATGGAATCTGCTTTTTTAGTTGCATTTCAATGCATGTAATGAGATATAAAGTAATTATTTCTTGTAATGCAGAAAATATAATTTCAACAACTATCAGAAAACAGAGTAATAGCCTAAAGTAAAATAAGAAAAAGAGGAATAACCTAATGCAACAGAAGAAGAAAAAAAGAGCGATGAGGAAGAGGAAAGAAAAAGAAGAGAAGTAAAGCAGTTTTAAGAGAAAAGGAAGTAATAAAGGAGAAGAAAAAATAGGAAGAAAATGGGGAGAGGATTTGCTGAAGGAGAAAAGGAAAATATGAAAGAAGACTTTCTGGATGAGAAGAAAGAGAAGAATTCGAGGAGGAAGAAATTGGTAATCTAAAAAAAAAAGTAATACAAAAAAACTGTCTTTGATATTTTTTTATTTATACACTACATATTAAAGTGTCTTTTCTTTTCTTCATTCAATATAATTTTTAGGTGTAAAAAAGGCAAAAGCCACAAAAGGTATGTTATTTTGAATGTAGTTTGCAGTTTACGGTGAATTACTGCACGGTGATGTTATTTTACAACTGGGTTTTGCTGAGTCTGTAAATTTGTAAATTGTTTAGGTTCTGTTGTCGAACATGAGAGTTTGTTGGAATGGTTTTGATTGTGAGATTTAAAAATTCTAAGTTCTTCTGTTGTTGATGAAATTGCTAAGTAATCGTTGTGTTTATCCATGTAAAATTCGATAAAAAGAGGATGTGTTTGAAATTGATGAATGATGAGAGTAGATTTCTGCAGCTTGTATTTATTGTCGGTAAATTTGTTAAGATGTACTTTATTCTCTTAGTTTGGCCAAATGATTAAGTTTATTTTAAGAAAGGGTAATTTTTGCAGTTGTTTGCTTTCTCTGTAGATGTTTATTTCTAGAAATAGTTAATGAAGAGAAACGAAAAAAATAAAATAATACAAATTAAACATCAGAGTACACACTCAAACAAGCTAAACTACTTCCTGACACTTGTCGTTTTTAAAAAATCTACATGTACATGTTTTAAAGAAATCTCTGTTGGGTTTTTGTTTTGTTTCCTGCAGTGTCGGTCAATGTCAATTATAGAATCTGTGTGTTTTTAGTTGCATTATAATGCATATAATGAGATAAGAAGTAATTATTCCTTGTAAAGTTGTAATGCAGAAAATATAATTTCAATTTTTCAACAACTATCAACAAGTTTTGACATGTAGTAGTAAAATAAGAAAATAGAGGAATAACCTAATGCAACAGAAGCAGAAAAAAAAGAAGTAAAAAGCGAAAAGGAACCAGAGAGAATGTGAAGAGAACTATAAAGCAGTTTTAAGAGGAAGAAAGTGATAAAGGAGAATACAAAATGGATTCACTGAAGGAGTAAAGGAAAAGATCTGACTTTCTGGATTTATAAGAAGAAAGAGAAGAATACAAGGAGGAAGAAATTGGCAAACACAAAAGAAAGAAATGGAAAAAAAATTAAAAAACGTCTTTGATATCTTCTATTTACTATAAAGTGTATTTCTTTTCACCATTCAATTTAATTTTTAGGTGTAAAAAAAGCAAAAGCCACTGAAGGTATGTTTATTGAATGTAGTTTGCAGTTTACAGTGAATTACTGCTGATATTTATTGTACCGATTTGATGTTATTTTACAAATTGGATTTGCTGAGTTTGTTTGTTATTGCCTTGTAAATTGTTTAAGTTTCTGTTGATGAACTGAGGGTTTGTTGGAAACGTTTTTGATTGGGGGGATTTAAAAAGTAGAAGTTTTACTGTAGTTGATGCAATTGCGAAGTTTGCTTCTTTTACCATGTAAATTGTTTAAGTTCTGTTGATGAACGTGAGAGCTTGTTAAATTGTTTATTATAGGGAGATTTAATGGTCTTTGGGCTACTGTTGTTGATGGAATTGGAAAATTTGTTTTTCATTGCCATGTAAGTCGTTTAGTTTCTGTTGGTGAACATCAGGGCTTGTTGTAATGTTTTTTGATAGGGAGATTAAACAAATATATATCATTGTTTTGGTGATGAAATTGAAGTTTGAGAGGATATGACATGCAAGTGAGTTTCCCCAGTCTTTGAATCTCTGGGCAACCAAATTTGGATGGCAGATACTCAGATAATGAACAGGATTAAAAAAAAAAAATCAAAATGATTTATTTGCCCAACACTCTTTGCAGTTAGTGTTCTTTGCTAGATGCAGAGAAACTTATAATTACCATTGAACTACATGTATTGTTCTGTCACTTTACTTCTTGTCCTGTTATTGGCTGATCTTTTTAATAGTGCTGCAGTGTTGGTCATTATCACGGTTCTAGAGCAGTAGAGCTTTTCTTTGTTGCATCTATGTGCTTCAAGGTTACAAACTGTGATTAGTAATTTTTGTTTTAAGACCTCTCAGAAGCTTTTAAGTTACTTTAATACAGCACTTGAAATGTAGAAAAAAAGAAAAGAAAAATAAGATGATGATAAGAGAGACAAACAATTTGTTTTTCTTCAGAAGGGAGAAAATGTAGAACAATACAAAGGTTGGACAAGTGGAATAAATAAATTTAAAGGGAAGGGAAGCAGGAGAAGTGCATTGAGAAGAGAAAGGAGGAAGGGAAGGGAGACGATTTGGAACAAATGAAAATTGATTAAAGTGAATTCAGGCTAAGTGATGATCCTTAGTGTAAGGTAAATTACTGGTAATCCATTCCGTACATGCTTTTCTTACAGTATACATCTCTAAGGGTCTTCATTACATAATTATAACGGCATTATCCAAAGGTTGATGCTTGATCAATATGAGGAACAGAGGGGCGTTTCACAAAACTTGTCATCAGTGAAAAATGACAATTTGTGTTATAAGCTACTGAAATCCTTGCTTCTGATTGGTTATCAGCAAATTTGTTACTGATTTTTGTTATTTTTCATTGAAAAAAGGCTTTATGAAACAGGGCCCAGATCATTCTAACATCATTGGCACCTTCCACCCTAACACAAGCCCTCATACCGGGAGACAGTACAAGAAATATGGGTTCTTTATCACCAGCATGATTGTGTTGTGTTTTGTTTCCCCAATGCACCAACCGTGCATGCATACAATTACCATTTATGAATTATTCATAGAATATGTAAATTTGTAACAGTAGTATTTACATTTTTTTCTTCTTGTTTCTCCTCAGGGATCAAGGACCAAAAGAATAAAGGGGTGGAGCCTCCTAAACCGCTCAAGTTCCTGCAGAAGATTGAGAAACCGATACCAAGACCACCTACACCTTCCGTGGAAGTACCTGATTTGGTAGGTTCCTTCAGTGTTTGTGAGACTGAAGTGGAAGAGAAAGAGGAAGAGAGAGAGAGCAAAAGAGAGACAGAGAGAGAGAGAGAGAGAGAAAGAAAGAGAGAAAGGGGTAGGGAGAGGGAGAGAGAAAAGAGATTACTAGCAAGCATCAAGTGAATAAAAGTTATAATGAACACAGGAGGAATGAGTTAGGAAAAATGAATGTGATAGACAGCTACTCAGGAGGAGGAGGAGAAGGAGAAAAAAAAGAAGTAGGGAGGGAGAATACATCGTAGCAAAGGAAGATTGGGCTAGATAGGAGGAGAGAGAGACTAAAAAATGTCTTGAAAGAAAAAATAAAGAATGAATAAAGCAGAAACTACTGATAGTAATAATTTTAGTTCCTTGATTAATGAGGATGCATTTAGCTTAAAATAAGGTATAAACGTGTAACTTCTGTTTCTTTATTTCAGGTGGAGGAGGAGAGAGAGCTTGCAATCGTCTTCCTTCAACAAGTCATCCGAGGCAGAGCTATACAAAACATGGTAAGTCCTCTAATACAGTCTTGAGTAACTACTTCTTTTGTTAAGTCTTGAATTCAATTAAGTGGGAGTGAATTTGTACTGTTCATCTTTTTACCTGAAATGTTTTAAACATCTGTTTCCCTCTTCTTTTGTAGCAGCTAGGGTTGTTAGTTTGCACATCTATTCTTTATAAATTATCAACAATCTTGTCTCCACTTATTCATATCTATGATTTAAAAAAAAAAACTAATCATATTTATAATTCAATCATTAAAGTTTAGTATCATGTTATTTTTTTAGATATATTGAAGATAATAGTTACCAACAAGGCAAGCTAGTTTGTCAGTATGAAAAGCTTGAACTCACAAAGATATTTGTGAGCATGAATCATGGTCTAAACCGCTGATTGACTGATTTAATAATTTATCTTGGTTTCATAATACGTGTTCATACCCTTTTATATAGAGGTGAGGTAGTTTAGCGGATACGTACGTCACGTCAAGACATTAAACTACATTCGCTACTCTCTACCCAGGTGTAGTAAATGAGTACCTGGTAGGAATCTGCTCCTTGATTGTTTTGGGGTAATACTAGGGTAATACTAGAACTTTGTAGGTGCCTCAAGCATCTCCTGGGATGGATATGTGTCTAAGGTGCTAAGATTGGCAACTGCCGCTCCTAATCTGTGGAATAAACCTACCCAGATTTCTTCGCAACCAGCATTCTCTAAATACCTTCAAAAAACATCTCAAAACTCACCTCTTCTGCCAACAACATAATCAAAAAGTGGATATAATCATGTATATAGAAAATGAGCTATATAAATACATTATTATTATTACAATAATTATTATTATATTTTTGATGAATGAAATATTGTTCAGTGATTGGTCAACAAGGTATCATGTGACCAAACATAATTGCTGTGATGTTACCGATAAGAAAAATAGAACTATACTGTCACGTCATCCATGGTATAGTGCACTATACCATGGATGACGTCATAGATATGTGATCGATCAATCGAACGATCAAGTCCACTAGAATACTAGAAAACAAAAAACTAGTGAAAATATGGATTCCTCAGCAACAGAAATAGTACTATTCCTACCACCTCGATCCATAATTTCAACTAGATCCTCTCAGAGCATGGTATATTTGTTTATTATTATCATCATGATCATCGGAGGAGGAGGTGCGATAGCTCAGTCGGTCTCGTGATCCGGTGACCCGGGCTCGAAACCAAGTCAATGTGCTAGTGCCCTTTGGTAAGGCATTCATCACCAGGTCTCTCGGAGAGGACCTAAAGCCATTGGTTCTCTGGTTGCTCACCAACAAGCATTTATGCTTTCTTTTAACAGTCAGATAAAATATCCACCAAGACCATTATTATAAATGTATCTATTGTTGTTGTTGCACTATTATGAGGAGACAATATGACTGATTTGTATTTGTTCTTGTTCTCTTTTCAGATGTTTGAAGGTAAAGAAAAGAGACAGGAGTTGATCAATGAACTGAGAAGCACCCATGCCTTACAGGAAGCAGAACAACAGATCAAGAAACAAGACAGACAAGCTACACTTAACATACAGAGACAGAGACAAGTACATGACCATAGGGTAAGACCAATATCTATTTCCACTATATATACCTGTCTTGCCACCTTCAAAAGATCCCTCAAAACTCACCTTTTCCCCCAATGATCTATGTGATAAACTTCCTGTACTGTAAATTTTTGTCCTCTTTTCATATATTTGTATTTGTAAGCGCTATGGTACTTAATGTTTTTAGCGCTCCTAAATATTCTATATTATTATTATTATTATTATTATTATTATTATTATTATTATTATTATTATTATTATAATATAAGGCTCATTCACATATGCAGCGATGAACAACTGTGATTTATGTGTGTACTGAATGAATGGCAAACGAGGATAAAGAAAGTAGCTGCACTAGCTCAGCAATGGTGCTACGTGTAATCACCTATCTGTTTAGATACAAACATGTGAAATGCAGTGCATATAAAGTACGCTTATGATGGTACGATATCAGCACATGTGAACATGTCTTAAAAAGCACCACAGGATATTTACGTTTTGCAAAGTCGATCGACATTGCGCACATTGCAAACAACCCATGTGTACTGTATGCAGGTATATGTGGTACTGCCGTTTTTTATAAGCTGCTTGATTGGGCGATATGTTAAGGTGAGAGATTTCTTCCAAAATACTGTTTTTTGTCCAAAAATACTGTTTTTTGCTCTTAAGAATACTTTTTTTTGTTGATGAAGGTTTGTATCTCTGCTATACTGCTAAACAATGTTTTTAAACTGTTGTCTTCTTCGATCAACCCACAGGAATCGTTCATTGATGAGGCCATGTCCAAGCAGGAGGGGGCCGCCCTGGGTGACATGCTGGACTTCCTGAGCAAGGAGCTGGTACGCCTCCAGGAGGAGCGCAGGATACATGCCTTCGCCATGCTCGCTGAGAGACGACGCAGGGTCAGGGAGGCAGAGGAGTCTGGCAGGAGACAGGTGGAGGAGAGGAGGAGGCGAGAGGAGGATGAGATCTTCAAACAGGTGAGGATAACAGGGATGATGATGATGGTGGTAACGATGATGGTGGTGGTAATGATGATGATGATACTGATGATGATGACGAAGATGATGGTGGTGGTTGTGGAGGGTCAGGGAGGCGGAGGAGTCTGGCAGGAGACAGGTGGAGGAGAGGAGGAGGCGAGAGGAGGATGAGATCTTCAAACAGGTGAGGATAACAGGGATGATGATGATGATGGTGATGGTAATGATGGTGATGATGGTGATGACGTTGATGGCGATATAAATTACTGATGATGAAGATGATGGTGATAGTAATGATGTTGATGGTGATAAAACTTACTATTGATGGTAACTTTGCCATCAATGTAACTACCATGGAAACCTTGATTTTGATTGGCTGTTGAGCCCTGTTACCATGGTAGTTGTCATTGATGGCAAAGTGACCATCAATGGTAAGTTTTATGCAACGGGCCCAGACACATTTCTGAACATGTCCTGTGGTTGTACTCTAATACATATTCAGTTCAAGTTCACTCAATAATGGTTTTATTTCTCTGTTTGTCTGTGTGTCTGTTGTGCAGCTGGTCAAGGTCCATCAGAACACTGTGGATACGTACCTCGAGGATATCATCCTGACCTCCATGGACAGGACAGCAGATGACCAGGCCAGACAGGAGGTCCAGGAGAGGGCCCAGCAGGTCAATGAGGTGGCATACTTATCTGAACAGAGGTAGGTTCTTTCTGCAGGGTGTAGATCATGCTCTTCAAGGAGAGAGGGAGAGAGAGAGAAAGAGAAAGGGAGGGAGGGTGGGAGAGAGAGGGAGGGAGGGAGGGAGGGAGGGAGGGAGGGAGGGAGGGAGGGAGGGAGGGAGGGAGGGAGGGAGGGAGGAAGGAAGGAAGGAAGGAAGGAAGGAAGGAAGGAAGGAAGGAAGGAAGGAAGGAAGGAAGGAAGGAAGGAAGGAAGGGAGGGAGGGAGGGAGGGAGGGAGGGACGGAGGGAGGGAGGGAGAGGAAGAGGGAGAGGGGGAGAAGAGGGCCGAGCAGGTCAATGAGGTGGCTTACTTATCTGAACAGAAGTAGGTTCCTTCTGCAGGGTGTCAACGAGAGAGGAAATAGAGGGAGAGGAAAGAGAGAGAGAGAGAGAGAGAGAGAGGGAGAGAAGAGGGAGGGAGAGGAGAGGAGAGGAGAGGAGAGGAGAGGAGAAAAAGAGGGAGAATGAGGGAGAGAGAAGAGGAGAGAAGAGGGGGAGGGGAGAAAGAAAGAAAGAAAGAAAGAAAGAGATAGAGAGAGATGAGAGGACAGGACAGGAGAGAGAGAAGAGGAGAGAAAGAGATAGAGCAGGAGAGGGAGAAAGAGAGAGAGAGAGAGAGAGAGAAAGAGAGGAGATGAGAGGAGAGAAAAAGAAAGAGAAAGAGAAAGAGAAAGAAATAATGAAAGAGTGAGAGTGAGAGAGAAAGAAAGAGTGAGAGAGAAAGAAAAATAGAGAAGAGTGAGCAGGTAAACAGAGATAAGGTACAGAGAAAACAGGAGGCCGTCGATCATGCACAATAAGAGCATTTTTTCTCATGTATGTATGAATTTGTTGAAACTAATGCAGATGGAGGATGAGGATTACGATTATGGATATGAAGATGGTCAATTAAATCATATCTTTTGTGATGTTACAGAGGTGAGCAGAAGGAGACCGTAGCTGAACTGGTCCAGATGTTCCTTCTTCCTGAGGTCCAGAAGATCACCAATAGAGAAAAAGGTACAATTTTGATCAAGTTTTCTCTTAATGGTTTGCTCATCCCAGTAGCACTTTATAGCCATTTATTAGAAGAAAATAGTACATCTTGAATAATCTGTGAAGTTTTGGATAGGTCAACAGCTAGGGGCCTCAGCACATAGTATGTTGGTTTGAAATATTGTCTTGTGTTTTCTAAGTCTTCGTAGGCAAAATTTGAAACATTTATATATTTTTTTCTGGGGGATCCACAAACTACAAGCACTGCTTTTTAGTGGATCCCCCCCCCCCCCATTTCCTCAGAAATTAAGAACTTCTTGTAATTATTTTATTATGTCCAAAGTTTTTTTTTTTTTTTTATAGTTTCCTGAAAAAATGAATTATGTATGAAAAAAATGTAATTTCTTTGTTTACCTTTCTGTTGGAAATGGAATAAATATGAATATGAATATGAATAGTACTGAAGCCATTCTATAGGCTCTATTCTAATTTGCGGAGTAAAATTATCTTGAACCTGCAGCTCTATATGAATGACCTTTTCTTGAGAGAATGCAAACCATTTTGCAAACAAGAAAACAAGATATGACTGATATCTAACTTATTGTTAAAATCATTCGTGGGTGTTCATTTTTAAATCATAAATGAAAATACTAATATACCCACGATACATGCGATTGAGTTCTTTATACAATCTATCTGCACTTGGGTTGAGGCTGTATGCATATAGGTGCGTAAACAGAATCAACAACAGGTGGTAGTAGATGGTTTAGTGAATTGATGAAACAAGTAATGCATCAGTTGTTTTATACAACAACACTTCTAGATCCTTGTACTTTGATGTAAGAAAGAATTAATTTCAAGATTTATTTTGTGTCATTATCGCTGACAAATAAATCCCAAGTTTAATAGGCTTACTTTTGCGTGCATACAGAGATAGCACTCTAACCTCTAAGAGTACTTACACATTGTTGGATAGTACTGGAAACTATTGCATGCTTTTTCATTTAAAAAAACGTGTGATAGTCTCAGTAAATGAAAGACACATGAATACATTAGACCAGTCATTTTCAGCAGTCCCCTCCATAACCAATCTGTTTTATATGCCTGTTGTACACTGTGGACCAATTACAAATATATTGTTAGGTTCCCTTGTTTTACTATGTACAATGCAATTCCATGTACTTTATTTTATTTTGTTGGAAATGGAAATCAACAAAATGAAATGAAATGAACAAATCCAGGAGAGTGTTGTAAGAAATATTCCTATTCTTCTCCCTGCAGTGAAGCAAGAGCAGCGCAAGCACCTCATTGCCGCACATAGCACCATCCACAAAGAATCAGAGGGTGTCATCGGCTTACACTCTAAGCCTCTGAGAGCACAAAGCACCGATGAGAAGCCTCCATCTAGACCAAGTGAGTTCAGTGTATAGGTTTAATGGGTGCACTGTGGGTGTTCAGTGTTTGGTGTATCATTATGAACCTATGTGAGTGTGTATGTACTGTGCTAAGAAATGCCTGACACTCTGAATTACTCAAAGCACCAAGCACCGATGAGAAACATCTGTCTAGACCGAGTGAGTTCAGTGTCTAGTTGTCGCAGCCAATGGGTGTCGGTGCTTAGTGTTCTCTCTACCCCTTTGGTGTTTCATTATGAACCAATGTGAGTGTTAGGAAAACGAAAAATGAAATTTCGATTTCCAATCATAAATATCTTGATAATCAGACAGGCGATCAGCTTGTAAAAGTCTTAGGGTTCCTGACTGACCTAAAGGTTTATAATTATGATTGCAGCATGAGCTAAATCCAGGATTTTGTTTCAAAATCTAAGACAAAGATACCCAATCCCTTTAAAGCAATGATATTGTGTAGTCAGTCATAGAAGTAGCCATTCCAAAGAGGCCATCTTTAAAAAAAAAATCAATTTGTTTTCAGTATCCTGTCGATAAATATTACAAACAGGATATTAGAAAGATTATCTTTCTCTTGATACTTTGAAAAAACAAGATACTTAATGGCAGTTAGAATTTGCATGTTTTTCATTAAGAAGAATTGTATCATATTTTGTTTTTTTCATATGCAATTAAGGGCAAAATCAAGAGAATGGTACAGACAGAATACAAAACAAAACAACGATAAGCTACATACTATGGCTTCCCCTTTGAAGAGAATGTAATGAACATAACTCTGAACCATCATATTTCTTAGGGCTTCTGTCTGAGCTTGATAATGAAATGAAATACAATATTGAAACTAAGACCTAGTTACGGCAGTAATTAGTATTCGGTCAGCTGCGCCCCCTCAATCAATATGGCTTCATTTTGTGACAAACATCGTACTATCTCTTGATGAATCTATTCTCTCTCCCTTCTTCTTTGCTGTAACATCTCTGAGGTAGATAACAGTCCAGGCTTCATCTTGTGACAAACATCGTACTATTTCTCGATGAATCTATTCTCTCTCCCTTCTTCATTGCTGTAACATCTCTGAGGTAGATAACAGTCCAGGCTTCATCTTGTGACAAACATCCTACTATTTCTCGATGAATCTATTCTCTCTCCCTTCTTCATTGCTGTAACATCTCTGAGGTAGATAACAGTCCAGGCTTCATCTTGTGACAAACATCCTACTATTTCTCGATGAATCTATTCTCTCTCCCTTCTTCATTGCTGTAACATCTCTGAGGTAGATAACAGTCCAGGCTTCATCTTGTGACAAACATCCTACTATTTCTTGATGAATCTATTCTCTCTGATCTTCCTTCTTTATTGCTGTAACATCTTTGAGGTTGATAACAGTCCACATTTTAAAAATTGACGTGCAATTTTGGACGATCATCGATCTGGAGAGGTTGGTTATTCATTGGGATCATCTGTGTCAGCTGTGTACAAAAATTCTTTTTCACTCAAGGGAGATCTTTCGCATTTTCGGCAGTGCTTTTTTTTATTTAGAACTCCAAAGTTATTTTCAGGTTTCTAGAGCTCAGCTGTTCTCTGCTCCTCCTACATGTATGTCTGTTTTCTCCGTGTGCTCAGTTGAAGAAAAAAAAAGAGGCATTACTTTTTCTCACTTTTGTCTAAAACATATATGCAAAATAGACCGTATCGCTAATTCTGCCGTAAGAGATTTCCTAAATCTTGCTGTGAAATTTGTTCTCATTTTGATATCGATGTTCATGAATTCTTTTCTTCATTCTCCTTCTTTTCCTCAAATAGCATCTGCATCCAAGTCTGAAAGAAAGACTCCATCTCCGACGGGTCAAAAGGTCACTTCTCGTCCACCCAGCGGTGCAGCTAAAGGTCAAGGGTCATCCAAGGGGTCATCGAGACCTAGCAGCGCCAGGAAGGGGTCGGCAGAAGGATCACAGAGAGGAAGTAGGGCAGGTTCACCAAAGGTGAGGACAGGCTTCGACGACGCTCTTTGTCTTGACAATATACCCCTACCGTCAAGTTTCTAACAAATTCACCCTGTCAAAAAAGCACTCAATTGGGTTCTGATGATATTGTTGTGTTGTGTGATTCTCTAATTCTCTAACCATTCTTCTTCTTTGCCTTTTGACCGTTCTTAATTGAAAAATTTTCTTCTTTTTTATTCACCGGATGTTATTTTGAGGATTTTGATCTCTCTACTTCTTGTTTTATTCTGTTCGTGTTCATAAAGAGAGTCATAGAGAAGGGGAGAGAAAGAAAGAGAGAGAGAGAATAAAAGTGAGAGCAAGGGGGAGGGAGGGAAAGAGAGAGAGAGGGAGAGATAGCGAGAGAGAGAAAGAGGGGAGATAGCGAGAGGGAGGGAGAGAGAGAGAGAGAGAGAGAGAGAGGTGGAGGGTAATGGGAAGGAGAGAGAAAGAGAGAGAGAGTTTAAATATGAATAGATAAAGTTGGTAGCTTGAATGACTATAATATCAAATCTTACTGCAGCTCTTTAATATCGCTTATGGAAATGAAAGACGTACATACCTTTGATATCAAATGATTCTTCCCTTGTTGATTTCATGTTTTACTTAAACTTCTGTTGAATCCTTTGCTGACAACTCTAACAGATAACTGTGTTTATTCTCTCCTCTCTTTTCTAATTGTTTGATTTGCGGTGATTTAAACAGCCTTCTCTCTCTCTGCACTAGCCCTAAAAGCATTCTTCAATTCTGTTTCCTTTCTTCAAGTTTGATAAAGTGTGAGTATTTTGAAACAGCTACTTTTTTCTTTGTGTATCTCATTGTATTCTTTTGCAAACTTATTCTCCTCATGTACACGTGTGTAGTATGATAATAATAATGCTTAATTTATTTTTAAAGATATAGGCTGCGATGCATATATCTTTACAAAAAGTATTTACATGATATAAAAATACATTATATAGATTTTCATAATAATACAAGTAAACAGTATGCAATTGTCAGAGCGCATGTAAGTCTACTATTAAATCTGTAGTACGATTTTAGGTGTATACTACTAATGCTGTCAAGCTTTTAAACCGGGATTACCTCTTTATTTAAATGCACCCTTATCTTTTGCTATGATTACTAAGACTGCTTCCCTACAGAGATGATAGGTTGTAGAAATTTATTTTAGAAATTATTAATTTTGTTGATACTTATTTAGAAATGAAAACAAAATGCTTCTCACTTTATTGTGTCATACTAAGCCCATGAAGGTTCCTACATTCTCATTTTATTGTGAGTTACATTTTTGAAATGTGTGAAGATATCCAACTATTTTTTGCTGGAAAATGACCCAATCATTATTTTCACAGAAGAAGAATTATCTTGTAGGTGAGCTGCATTAACATTTCTTTTAAGTATATAAGTATAAGTATAATAGTTTATTGTCCTTTTCAGGAAATTTGTTTTCCACTGGTTACAGAGTATTGCGATACAGATATATAAATGAAATATTACATGACAGTGATAAACATACACATATGATAAACATACAATAGATGAGATAATATATATGTAAGCCACGGTATATATGGTGGTTAAAGAGGTAATATCAGATTCCATTTTACAAAATATGAAGCTGAATTATTTAATATCAATGATTATTTCATAGTAAATCTTAAAATGATAATAAATACATAAATCATTTTCGAAGTCTGTGGATACAGAGTTTCTTAAGTGACAGACCAAAGAGAGTGGTCTTAGGAAACGCCTTATCCTGTCCAAGAATTGTGAATACAGGGGCGCCCCATAATATGTTTGGTGATATATTGTATTTTTATCCCAAAATCCAGGTAAAGAAATCCCCATCATCATCACCAGCTCCGCCATCATCACCTCAGCAAGACAGCAAACCAGCCATGGAGAGTCAGGAACCACCACAAGACACACAAGCACCGGCGACCAGCTCACCAGCACCACCAGCAGATACCCAGGCACCACCAGCAGATGCCAAGGCACCACCAGCAGATACCCAGGCACCACCAGCAGATACCCAGGCACCACCAGCAGATACCCAGGCACCACCAGCAGATACCCAGCCACCACCAGCAGATACCAAGGCACCACAATCAGATACCCAGGCACCACAATCAGATACCCAGGCACCAATGGACATATCTGATCAGCCACAGGCACCGACTAGTAGTGAAGAGGCACCACCAGTAGACACACAAGCACCAATGGAGGGTGTGTCTGATCAATCAGAGGCACCAACTAGTAGTGAGGCAGCACCGGCAGAGGGCATGTCTGACCAGCCACAGGCACCAACTGCAAGTGAAGAGACACCGGCTGTAGCAGCACAGCAGGGAGAAGCACCATCAGAGGCACAAGCAGATAGCACGGAAGGTGGCACCACGGGTACCATTGAACCACCGGAAGTGGTAACGGCAGGGCAGAAACAAGAACCACCCATCACCGAAGATCAGGCTAGTGTACCAACTGAGACCCCAGCTGCACCAGAGGAGGGCACCGCCCAACCAACAGAAGCACCTTCTCAGGGCGAAGGCACCTCAGAGCCAGCAGCAGTACCAATGGAGGAAGCCACCAAACCACCACCAGAAGATCAGCAAGGAACCGCAGAAGTAGAAGAAGTTCAGGCTGAGGTCAGGCAAAAGACAGATTCTGCTACACAAGGAGAGCGCTAAAGCTATCCATACTTCCCTCTTATATGATTTTCAAACAATTTAGTTATAACTGTTCATACCTTTAAGACCTAGAATTCTTTGTTGATTTACATTATCTTTATCTAAGTGAAAAGAAGAAGAAAACATCAAATCCATGGTTTGATTTTGTGCCTGATGTAGTCTTGCATCTTTTGTTAATCATTGGAACTAGAGTCAGATAAAATTGAACCAGCAACATTCCAGCATTTGAATCTAGGAACGAAATAAAAAATACAAAATGTTACATTTGAAATTTATTTGATGCAATTTTTGTACCAGATGGAATGGAATGGAAGGAAATAAATGTTCATTTTGAATTGAATTTGAAAAAAACAACCTCATGAAATAATGCTCAATTGCAAATTCAGAGCAGATGCTACTAAAACTCCAGTAAAAATATATGAGGGTTTTATGCGTTCTATGCTTTTATAATTAATTGAAACAACATAACCTAACCTAATCCCCCCCCCCCAAAAAAAAGAGCAAACAGAGAGAGAGAGAGAGAGAGAGAAGGCATTATAAGAAAGGAACTGTTATGTTGCCTTATAGTGGATGCAGTCATTTAGTCATTTAAAATTGAATTGAAATGAAAATAAAGCTGTGTTCTTGGGGAAATTCAAGTTGTTGGATGATGAAATTGAGATAAATCTGATGCATTATGGACTTTGTGAATTGGTCACAGAAGAAAATTGTGTCGGTCATCGTTTTAGGACAAACAGTTGAATTGAATTCCAGTATTACAAATGGACCTGTTTCCATTATCCAAATCTAACTGATCTTGTGCACATAGTAGATGAGGTACTAATTGTAAATAAAACATACTAATAAGCGCTGAATTGTGTATTTTCACCGATCACTGCAGCAAAGCTAGTCATCACTGCTTCACACACCTTGATATGTATAGAGCTGTACACAAATTTGAAGAATGTCAATGTGATGTAAGTTACTTATTGTAATGTAGATTCCTAAAGCATTGTTCAGATATGAGATGGTGAACTTCTGCGTTTTTCAAATATTTTAATGATGACATAAGTGTAATATGCTTTACATTTGTGTATCGATCTTATAACACAGAGCTATATGTGAGTGAATACGTGTAGGACCTTTAATGCGCACACTTTCTGTTCATTTACTCTATTTAAAATAATGTAGCTTTAAAAAAAAAAGACATAGCTAGGTGTAATATGCTTTCATATCTGTATCTTATAACACAAAGCTATATGTAGATGAATACGAGTACCGGTAGGACTTTCATGCGCACACTGACTATTCATATAGTCTATTAAAAAAAATGTAGCTTTTTTTTTTTAATGACGTAGGTGTAATACGCTTTACATCTCTTCATCTTAAAACACAAAGCTATGTGTATTATACGTGGAGGACCTTTCATGGGCACACTGCATCATTTACTCGTTAAAACAAGTGGCGTTTTTTTGTATTTTGTAGTGTTTTACCACGTCATATCTGAACACAAGCTTTGATTTAGGCGTTTCCATTCAGGGTGTCCCTTGCGACATGGCTTTTATCCAAAAAATGAAAAAAAATTTGATGGTCATTTTTATGTCAAAAGTAAATGAATAAAAGTCATGTTTTGTATGGAACACATTGTATGAAATTGGCCAATGGTACTCTATCGTGTGATTTCTGTGAAAGTATATTAGTGTTACTGTACATGTATGTGATAGATTTTGATTTTGTGCTTTATTACATTTTCGTTTCAGTGTAATACGCCACTCTAGGCCTACCCTCATCAGCTCGAGTTTGCCAAATAACAACCAGCTATTTTAACTATCCCGATCGCGAATTAACTAGTTAATTTGCGTCTCCATCAGCCTGAAGTTGCAATTAGCGGTACATTTGGTCGAGAAAATATCCCAAGAAATATTGGTCTTGTTCCCCCAGATCCCGAAATAGCAGGCTAATTTGCGCCCGTCCGAGCTAGTTTGTGATCAGCATATCGGTCTTGTGAAGACGCAATTTTGAAAATATCAGGTTATTTGGAAAACTTGAGCTGATGTAGATAGGCCTACTTTGAGCTACTAGTATTTTGTTTCCATGTCCAATGCATGTAGCAATTGTTAACTCACTAATGAAGATCTATTGATGGTGATTAAAGAAAGCATGTTTTTACTTGTAAGAAAGCAAACAGGGAACCGACAGCTTTTTAAAAGCCCTCTCCGAGGTACTTTTATAATGAGTATTAATGCCTATACCAAAGGGCACAAGCAACTCGACTTGGTTACGAGACCACTGCTCTACCGCTGACCCATCATGCTTCCTTTGGTGTATTGGTTGGACCTTAACCATGTGATTTTTATCCCCGGTTAAAGAGAAGGTTGAGTTCTGGGAAAACGTAGAACATTCATTTTGTGCTTTTCACTCTTTTAGAAACGTTTTTCTTTTCTTATTTCTTAATCAAGATTGAAAGAAGTTTTTTTTCAGAATTCAAATCACTGCAAACTTTGCCTCTATGTACAGGTAGGCCACATAAAACACACACACACAAAAAAAGAAGATATTCTTTTGCACTTATGATCCTCTGTTTATTCTGAACCCTCCCAAAACTGACTGACAAAAACTTTGGTACTTAACACTTCTATGGTTTTCCTTTGCTTTGTGTTAATTTCTCTGCATAGCTTTATCCTGCTTAGATTGATGTTACCCTGTAAAAATCCAGCATTTTTATATATATTTATCAGAAAATCCATCCATTTTGTAAATATGCTTTGTAAATAGATATATGAATATTAATTGGAAGTTGTATGCATATTGTTTTTTCATTTGGGAATGAATGTATTTATCACCTGTATATTATGTTGACCATCTTTGACCATATTATATGTTTGAACTGAATACATCTACATCAATCGTCTATTATTCAAAATTACATCGAGTGAGCTGGCGAAATGGCTTTAAAAGTGAATAGTTAAATTAAATTTTAGAATTTATAGAGCTGAGGTTGTAATCGTATAGCGCTAGCTTTGTAGGAGTTTACGGAAGGTAAATATGAAAGCTACAACCTAAAAATGGAAGAATTGTGCATTACTTGAAAACCCCATTCTACCTTTCTAATGAATCTATTGAATCCATTTAGGTTATTTAGAAACAAGGTTTGTACACTTTGATAAAAAAAAATTATGGTTCCATTTTAAACCATCAAATTAGATGCTCAAGGGTGGGGTTTGGGGGCAAATTCAAAATGATTATTGTTATTTTATATTTTGAAAGTAAAATCTTATATTGTGTCATTCTCTTTGGGATTTACATTTATATCATGGTTTTTTTTTTATCCCCTGAAAACCACTTGATAATGTTAAATATTTGTCCATGAGTTGGGCTATCCCGCTTAGACATACTCCTGTGACTTAATGACAGTTCAATTTATTTTATTAACAAATGTTTGTGTATATTTTGTTATGCTTTTTGCACGATTCCTATATGGAGTACAAATTATATTCATGTGTTATCATCTTGTCTTGAAGACTTAATAAAATGTTATAAGAAAAGCAAAACAAAGCATTTTTTTCAAATTATTTTTCATTTTCCTGTTTTAGTCTTCTGTCAATGAATGATAGTCATATTTTTCATGTGGAAAGTAAAAGAGCATTATTCACCATTATTATCTGTAGCAGCCATGTAATGTGCATTTGTGAGAGAGTGAAGATTTGTTTTTCAACGTAAATAAAGGAGAGAGAGAGAGAGAGAGAGAGAGAGAGAGAGAGGTGAGACAAATTTTCTAGTTTGACTTCTCAACAGTTCTATCTCAAAGGAAAAACAATAAGGATGAAAGTGAGAGAGAGCAGAGAGAGCGAGTGGAATAGAGAGAAAGAGAGCGAGAGAAAGAGAGATAGAGAGAGAGCAGAGAGAAGCTCTGTCTAAAGACGGAGGCAAAAGAAACATTCGATTGTGACTACCCAATATTTAATCTTTAATGAGAGGGAGTGAGAGAGAGAGAGAGAGAGAGAGAAAAGGAAAGGGATAAATAAGTAAAGAGAGATAGCAGGAATAGAAATAAAGAAGAGAGAGATATATTTAAAGAAAAGATACAGAAAGAGAAAGATATATAAAGATAATGAGAAAAGAAGCAAGGAAGTAGAGAACGGGCGGGATGACATTGAGAGGGAAAAAAAAAAAGAGTGAAGAGTTGAGAACTTGGGAGGGTTATGGAAGGTTGTAGAGTTGGAAGTGTTTTAGATCTAAAAGAAACATGAAGAAAATAATTATTGAACAGTTAGCCCCTTCTCCTCCCGATCAACAACTACCCGATTTTTATACAGTGATTCCTTGTCCAGGGGTTGAAGTTTGAATGGTGGTTCAAAATTACAGTTCCCCCACCCCCCCCCCCCCCCCCCCCCCCCTCCAATCCGCACAAATATTCTGCTTTGTTGCTCAAAACCACCTTATTTTCAGGGTGGCCTTCCCCTTTAAATTCAAATTTTATTGATTTCAATACAAACAGATAGGATCATAGGGGTATTTTTTTTTTGTTTGTTTGTTTGTTTTTTTTTTTTGGGGGGGGGGGGGGGGGGGGGGCTAATTTTCAGGGGTAGGGGGTAATTGTCCAGATACATTGGATGGTCATTGCCAGACATGAGATATACTTTAGTACAGCTAGAAGAAAACATTTCTACAGGCTATGCTTTGTGGGCTCGTGTAACTTTGTCTCCGATTCTGAAACAAAATCCTGGATTTGGCTCATGCTGCAATAATTATAAACCTTTAGGTCAGTCAGGAACCCAATGATTTTTACAAGCACTACACTACAGTTTATTGGGGAAAACGAGTATGATAAAACCGGTCACTCAAAGATTTTTACTTTTTTGAGGTACTTTATAATCATTTTGAAGCTCAATTTTTTTTTAGGGCTTCAATATTACACCATATCAGACACTGATAACACGTCGGGCCGGGCATCTCAGACTGTTAAATGATGCCTTTAAATACATCTCCTTTTCTGTGCCCACTCTTTTCAGTTATATCGCTTCATCCCTCTCCTCTCTCTCTCTCTCTCTCTCTCTCCCTATTTCTAATCCATCATTACCTTTTACTGTTGTTTTTTTCAACTCCTCCTCCCATTAAAAATATACTGGATTTAAAGACATCAATGATATTTAGCTTTTATTCCCTTTCAGATTTATTGCAATCTTTTTTCCTTTTAAATTTTACATTTATATGAAAATTTACTGCAGCTCTACCAAACAAATACATTGGAGGTAAATGTACACAAAATGAAAAGAAAGTAAACACCCTAAAACCCCTACAGGGATTATTCCACCTTTCATTTCATTTGCCTAGCTGGTCTAATACACAGCACAATGTACTTAGAATTGTCATCATTTTTTTCTTTTCCACTTGTTACGTCTAAGGTGTAAAATTATGGTTTATAATATCAACCTGACATAAAACATGACATTACAATGACTAACATAGAATTTATTTATTTATTTATTTATTCCGTTTTATTTTAACAGGGTAGCCCCGTCAGTAATCAAAGTACTGTTTTCCAGGGGGCCCTGTGGGGCTAGAATATGATAATAATTGACTGACATCAAATATGATAATATATGACTGATATAAAATATGTAACCTCCCAAATAGCACATTATCATGTATGTACTACATACAAGTCATAAAAGGCCCATAAAAGTTTACAGCAAATGGGCTGTAATGTAGTCTTATAATGTTGTAATCTTATTTAGATAGTTAAATATTGCTTGCGCATGAAAATGATTTGAGACGTAAAAGAAAACTAGTTCAAACATGATATAACTCTAAATTGAAATTACGCAATGGAAGCTCAATGAGGCATACTGCATTTTCTATGTCATTATTTTATCTATGCAGGTTGTACAATCACACAGAATACATCTATCTATAACCAGAAGTGTTTATATTACCAATATTTAAGCGATTTTGCAATGCATCAGGTTCATTGTAAACAGCCAGCATTAATAATATGGTATTAACAGATGTCTACAAAACAAATCGCAGTTAACACATGATATATGAACATGGTATAAGGAAAATAAAGGCGAGTTGTTTATACAGTAGAAAAGTAATGATTTAATAGTTTCATTTGTTCTCAATGTAACAAAATGTTGTGATACTTTAATGAAAAGCCATAATTTGTTTGTTTCTTAGTACACACAAACCAATGGAATGATAAATTAATGATATACTATAATCAAACCACATATTTCATTGTATTATAATACAGTGGGGCTCGGGGCGAATTCGCCCCCGAAATGCCCAAAAGAGCCCCCGAAAATCAGAAAAGAGCCCTCATAAATTTGCATAGAGTTCAATGCAAAACAAATTTTAGCTTGCTATTTTCATGCAGGCAAGCTTGAAAAGTAGCCCCCGAAAAATATATAGTAACCTTTTCCCTGTAATATAATAATATAAACAAAGACATTGTTTAGTAATGACTATGCAATGCACTCAAAGAGGACATTTAAACAAAAATAAAGTTGGGATTATAAATTACAATATAATCACGCATTCCTCTTTTAGTTCATCACTCAACGGTTTATTTGACTGAGAAGGAATAGGCGATGGAATCAGAAGAATCACAGTTGATCCATTGCTAAACTTTCACTTTGCTCCATTTTCACACAACGCCAACAGTTATATATAAATATATTTGTAGTGCTATTCCGAAGTCCACTCCACTGCTAAGACAGGCTAAGATTTCCAGTTAACTTTTGCTGATGCCTCGCTTCACCAGGGACCCTTTTCACAAAGCCTTTTTTCAATGACAAAGGACAAAAATCAGTGACAAATCTGCTGATAACCAATCAGAAGCAGGGATTTCAGTAGCTTATAACAAAAACTGTCATTTTTCACTGATGACAGGTTTGGTGAAACGCCCCCCTGGCCACTGTCACTTGTAACTCTCTACCGAGCTTTAAGAGAGCGGTACTCAAGATCCTCTGTTTAAACAACTGACATCGTTTTTAGCTGCACATAGTTCCCCTTGTAAGAGTTTTTATTGAGATAATGAGAACATTCTTGTACAGTGCATTGAAGAGCACGAGAAATTCACCAGATTGTGGCCTTTATGACCAGAATAAGGACGAGGAGGAGGAGAAGAAAGAGAAAGAAAAGAAGAAGAAGACAAAAAGGAGGAGAAAAAGAAGAAAGAGAAGAACAAGAAGAACAAGAACAAGAACAAGAAGAAAGAGAAAATAAAAAGAAGAAGAAGAAGAAGAAGAAGGAGGAGGAGGAGGAGGAGGAGGGGGAGGAGGAGGAGGAGGAGAAGCGTATAGACTTCTCTACATCATGGAGTGGCGATTGGAGGCTAATGAGTAGATGATCAGGTTCCAAAATTCAAAGAATTCAAGCTCTACCACTATGTTGCTGAACTGCCTTTCAGCTGCATCCAACGCTAGTCTTCAATTTGAGAGAAAAAAGTATGACTTTCAGTCAGACGAGCCTTACGTGCTACAGAGAGATTAAAGCACAGTCCCTCTTGTTGTTCATGCTTATTTAAAGCCCCCCTGCACTGCTTGTAGCTACATTTGCCCTCTATATAGCAAACAATGCCTAATCGGTGATTATTGGTCCCCCATGATCCTCTTTTTCTTATGTAAATTGAGAGCTTATTTGATGAGATAACCATCTGTCAGTGACCTTGCAGGGAGGTCCAATCCCTCCTGGCTAAAGCAGTGCGGTGGGTCTTTAAGAAGTACAAATTGTTTACGATATCAAATTCCAAGTATATTGCAACTCCCTTTGAGTCCCATGCTCTCATTCAAGGCTTTGTCCCTTTGAGTCCCATGCTCTCATAGTCTCATTCAAGGCTTTGTCCTTCTGAATAATAAAATGTGTGGCTCTGGAGAGAGAAGGGGAGACAGATAAACACGAAGAAATTACTACTTTTCCAATCAATTTTCACTTTATTGATCAACATCGATCCATACATAAAGATTCAATCCCCATTTTCTACACAACAGTATGTTTATACTCTGTTTAATAGTGACTAGAGTCCTACATTTGATATACACTTTAATGGTATTTATTTACGTTCACCTTTTTAACCATTCATTTTTCTTTTGCACATCTTTGTTTCATAACGTTCATATTTATTGTCCATCTAACAATGGAAATTTGAGCAGGAGAATTTAATTGCCTATTTCTCTTATTTTCATCGGCTTTTTCTCCTCTGTACCATTCATAGTGGCCATTTCATCGGATGCATCCGGATGCCTCCGATGAAAATCAGGCCAGTTTAATTAAGGGTTATCAGTTAATCGACTGTAGATCACAAGGTTAGGGGTTCACATCACAGCCTGGTGCTAATGTCTACATTTGCCACTATCCACCCAGGTGTTAAATGGGTACCCGGTAGGATATGAACGTTGCTGTAGTTTGCTCAGCATTGTGAGCGTCTGTAAAATGGCGCCTGGCTGGAATCCTCCCCAGGGAGTGGAGAATGTGCATACAATGTGTGCAGGGAAGCCTGAATCCGATGATCAGGTAATAGTATATGTGTAATGTGCTTAGAGACATTGTGGATGTATCAGGTGCTATATAAACACAGAATATAATTATTACAGTAAAACCTGGTTTAGTGACCCCCTGTATAGAAAGACCACTTGAATATAAAGACAACATTTTGCATTTCCCATGAAAATGATTTCTCACTGAAACATGCATTAAAGGAACCTGTACATACAGACCCCCTTTCTATAAAGATCACTTTTCTTGTCTCCCTTCAAGCGGTCTTTATACAGGTTTCACTGTATTATTATTATTATCTATTTTCTTACCTGGATTGTGTATCATATAATGGACCCAGCCAGGGCTTTGCTGGACCCCGAGGTTCCGCCATTCTGTCTCGGTCATGAGGTGAAGCCTCGGAACCTGCTTCACAAGCTCAGTAGGAAGTACCACATGCCTACACAAAAGAAAATACATTTATAGGCCATTAAACAAAAAAGATCATGTTTAGCGTCCCCGCCCGCTTCCTTTTGAGGGGTCGCCTCCTTTTTTTCTTTTTTTTAAACCTGAAAAACACACTGCTCAAATGATCTATTTCTGATTTTAAAAAAAAAAAAAGCAAAAAAAAAAAGCAGGCACCCATTTTTGAAAATAAGCCCGACTGTCAGGGGATTTTGAAGAAAGAAAAAGGGCCTCCTCCTTCCTATTTTTCAAAAAGGCAGGAAGCAAAACATGTTTTTTTTAAAACATTTTGCTTAGAGTATGACGGGGGGGGGGGGGGGGGGGGGGGGGGGGGGGGTTATCAGAGATGCCAACTTTTGGAAATCAGAAATAGGGAGGATTTGTAATCGACACCAATTAATGTGCGCGTAGCGCACATCTCGAGCGCGTAGCGCCCGACACATGCGGCCGGGGTCCAGGGCCCGCCTTAGGGCCCTGGAAGCTCTGGGGTTCTAGATGCTCTCTGGTGCAATCTGAGCCTTATTTTGGAGCATTTTACATGTGTATTTAGTTAAATAATTCCCCCTTTTTTTTTAAATAACATAAAAATTGTACAAAATGCATGATGAATTACTTTCAGACTTCCGATTACACAGGTACTTGATACTGTATTCGGTCTTATACTTCCGAGACCATTTCCTGGTCTTATTTTGCTGATTTTCCGCCATTTGGATTCTGTGGCAATATCCACGCATTGGTTACGGCGATCCATATGCTGAAACAATCTTTCGCTACTCTTAATTTGTCTTTTAACATAGTGGAATTATTACATGCTTAAGTTAGCAGATGATATTTCTCTTTCAATTCACAGATATATATACTGATAAGCGCCCTCCAAAAAAAATCATAATAAAAAAAAAAAAAAAAAAAAAAAAAAATCATTTTTTTTTTTTTTTTTTTTTTTAATAAATCGGGAGGATAAGGATGGTGATCGTAAGGTCGGGAGTTGGGGTGAATTATCGGGAGCCTCCCGATAAAATCGGGAGGGTTGGCATCTCTGGGTTATATGTGTCTGGACACTTTACAAAAATACAGCTGTCACTTTTGCCTTTGAATTTAACAAAAAGTAAGCATCACATAAAACAAACCATCATATAATTGTGTACATGTATTTTCCTTTAATGATAATTGTTGTCCAACATAAGTTTTAAAAGATATACAACTTTCTGGAAAACCAACCTGTCCGGACATACGACGTGTGGATACACTGTATCCAGAGAATCTCATTGTATATTGTGAACAAATAGAAGATTTGTCTTTCGATTCATCATACATGTTGACAATACCAATCCAGCCAATTTGGAATTCCTGTAAACTAATTAGATTGTACATGTATAAGCCCCACTGTACTACTTGTAGCTACTTGCCCCGGCCCCCCCACTTCGAGAACGGCATACCCCATGCGTGTTGCCAAAATGTCCTTTTCATAACAAAAGAAAAAGGTCGACCCGTATTGACTTTACACACCGGACTTTTGCTGAAAAGGGGGGGGGGGGGGGTGCTGAAAAAGGCTCGTATACAAAAGAAAAAGGTCGAGCCGTATTGACTTTACACACCGGACTTTTGCTGAAAAGGGGGGGTCGGTTGGAACACGCATATATGCGTACCCTAAATAACACTGAGTGGGGGGGGAGCCGGGCTACTTGCTCCCTCTATATAAAAAACAATGCCTAAGCGATGCCCGTTGGTCCCCCATGATCCTCTTTTTCTTTTGTTAATAGGAGCCGATTTGATGAGATAACCACCTGTCGGTGACCTTGCAGGGAGGTCTAATCCCCCCCCGGCCAAACTAGAACAGACGGGCTTTAAATGATTACAGATTTCAAACATTCTTAATTTTCCTATTGTTTATCAGATTTCACTTAAACTTCCATCAAGTTATTTCTCTAGTTTTTTGCTTTCATTTAATTAGATCAAATGGCTGAGGTTGGATTTTACTTGACTTTATAAATGTTTCTTCTCACCTGTATTCAAAATGATCATCTTCGTACTTGTCTGAATAGGCGATCAGCCTCTGCATCGTAGTGGTCGGCATGTTGACCTCTGACCTCTAGCTAGGACTGAAGGCCGGGAGACAGAGTTGGATCCTGGATTGAAGGAAAGTCATCGGGAGAATTAAAGTTACTCAGAGTCAGAGCAAACTAAAGAGGGGCTACATTTATATCAACAATAGGAAGGAACAAAAGTTCTCATTTCATTTGGCTTAAACTATAAGGTTCATACGGACATGTTAATGACGCAGCAATATTTTTATGACGTAAAACTAAAACTTGTTAAGTGTAATACACTTCTGTATAATCTTCTTACAACACATGCAGAGCTCCGTTGCCAAATTTATTTACACATAGGTTCTAACCAAGGCAGCCTTTTTGCTTGCCCTAACTCAGGTATTTGTTTGTTTCCTAGAGGTCTATACCCTAGATTTTCAGATTCTAGATCTAGCTAGTAGGCCTACTACTTTAGTAGATACAGACAAATATGTTCATTGAACATGTTTAAAGGGATCCGGTAACTTTGTCTCAGATTCTGAAACAAAATCTTGGATTTAGCCAATGCTGCAATGATATACCTTTAGGTCAGTCAGGAACCCCATGACTTTTATAAGCAGATCGCCTGTCTGATATCAAGATATTTATGATTGGAACTACAAATTGTAAAAACTGTTTGCCAAACGGTTTTCATAAGACTACAGGGCGCTTAATTGTCAAATTTTGGATAGGCTTCTGAACAAGCGCCCACTACAGTCTAATGGGGAAAACAAGTAGGGCCTATGGTAAAAACCGGTCACTCAAAGACTTTTTTGAGGCATGCACTTAATTCTTGATCATTTTGAAGCGCAATTTTGTTAGGGCTTCAATATTACACCGTATCACAGACACTGATAACACGTAAGGCCGTGCATCTATTAAGATTTAACATTGTTAAACGATTCCTTTAACAATATTATAATATTATAAGCATATACACTGTAGACAGTAGGGGCGCTGGTCCGAGAATGAGGATCGGCTTCATAAACAAGGATATATATCCTCGTAAATGCAGACAAAATGCGTCCTCAAAAATGAGGATCGTCTGCATTTTCGCGGACGTTTCTTTTCATCGGCACTCTGCGGGTTTCGCGTTACCGAACGGCCCGCTGGCGATGCAAAAAACGGTTTCCCCAGGGGAAAATAACCCTAGTTCACCGTCTACTTTTATGGGTTGTCCGTCTTCCCAAGGATTTATAGCTCATAATGTGAAGGTCTCTGTACAAAGTCAATGTAAAATGCATCAAGAAAATCATCACAAAATCTGTTTTTTGCATCGCCAATGTGCCGATCAAAAATATGAAACGTCTGGGAAAATGCAGACGGTCCTTACTTATGAGGACACATCGATCCGCGTTTACGAAGACGATCCTCGTTTATGAAGACGATCCTTATTCTCGGACAAGCGCCCCTTCCGATACTAGATCTAGGCCTAGACTAGACCGAATTTTCTGTTTCTTTTGTTCGTTACCTCTGATTTGGGTAGGGTCGGCAAAGAGAGAAGCCGACCCTACCCAAATCAGAGGCTAACGAACGAAAGAGACAGAAAATTTGGTCTAGGCCTAGACCTATACCATAACTGCAGCTCTAGTGAGGTGAGGGATTCGGTGAAAGCCAACTCCAGGGTCGGCGTCGGAGCTCCCTGGAGTTAGGTGAAAATCAGACGTAGGCCTACATACTGTCACCAGAATATAGGCCTAGATCTAGACTATTCCTGAATGAAATTGACTGATTTTGCGGTCTAATCTAATGTTCTGACTTCATGACTTTTGACAATCTAAACTCAAGATACAGCTTGCTCTTACTAGTTTCAGCTCAGTTTCCATGGTTACTGATCTTTTAAACAATTTTCCAACGTTAAATTTAAAGCAAGATAACTGGCACAGCGATTATGCTTTAATCGACCTCCACTGCAAGGCGCAAACTTGCTGTCGCGTCGACCTGTGCCCGAGCAAGGAGCGTAAGGCAGGACGAAAGCGAGCCTGCGCCAGCGGGCTGTACCTTTCAGCGTCTATGCCCATCACAAGCTACCAAAAAACTGGCTACATTCTGGTGCCCAAAAAACCTTAAAATTCTCTCAAAAATAATCTTAACATACTCAGTTCGCAAAACATTATAGTTATCTTTATATGTCAATAGATAAAAAGTTCTGTTTGTGTTTTAATTACCTTAAATGGCTTTCGACCTCGGAATCTCGGATAAATGAATTCAGTCTTTCATCAGATCACCTGCTTTGATTTCGGCGCGCTTAGCTTGCAAGCTTGACGCTTTCGATATAGCGACTTCCGGGTTCATGACAAAAGAGAAAGAAGCGAGTGTAATTGAAGTTCAGCATTTGTAAACGTGCAGGGCAATCAGTCAAATTCAAATATTAATTATCACCCTTATCACCAACTATTTTTTTAAATATTTGTTAAGTATAAACTTTAAATATACAAAATCAATGCGTTCTAGCTGGTGCATGGGAGGGGGGGGGGGGGGGGACATTTAAATGCTCGAATTCCCCATCAATTAATTGTACAAAGGGTCCATATTTCTCTGACCCTAAATGGTTGATACACCAGTTTTTTTAAATGTTCATGTTGCCCTGAAACACCATACTTGAAAATAAATTTTCCTCCTCCTCTTCCTCAATCATACATATTCCATCTCCCTTCACACCCGGCCATCGATCATGATCACTATCACCATCACGATCATTGATCATGGGCCCCGGGCATGTACCTCACAATCATGCACCAGCGTATAATGCTCCTTAATTCTCTCCCTCCTCCTTTCTTATTCCATCACACCCATCATCATCATCATCAGTGGCGATCCAGGGGGGCATGTGTCCCCCAGGCCAAAAACAATATGTTAAAATCAGCCCTAAATTCGCCCAAAATGTACTGAAAAACGGGGACGTGCCCCAGGCGCGGATCCATGATTTCTTAGGGGAGGGGGCCCAACTTTTTTTTTTTTCTCCGGAAAATTTGAAAATCGCGCCGGCTGAAAATTTGCTCAGTTGGGGGGGGGGGGGGGGGGGGAGGGGGGGGGGGAGGGGGAGTGGTGTAGTGAGCACATTTCTTTTTTTTTGGTTCTCGAAAATTTAAAAATTTGCACCCCCCAAAAAGGTAAAAATCAAGTGTCTTTACATGATTTTTTTCTCAAAGGGGGGGGGGGGGGGCAAGGGCCCCCTGCCCCCCCCCCCACATTGATCCCCATCATCATCATCACTAATGCCAGCTAGTAGCAGCTTCTCCGATTCCTTACCAAAAACTCACAAAATAGCTACTCATCAACAACTTTGATTCTTTTTAAGAAATACAAACTCTGTTATTGAAATTGTCTGCACATATATTATTATAGAGTCATATGGTGCTATATATATATGTATGAACCACAGTCAGATTACATTTCTTTCCTGTAACTTTTAATGCACTCTTTACCAATTATGCGAGGCTGACAATTCACTGAGAAATACAAAGACAATGAGAAATTCACAATATTGTCATTGGAAAATGAGGCAATGAAGAACACAAGTGGGAAAGATGTGTAATAGCAGGCAATTTAAGAAGAATTAGTCTCCATTCTTAGAACTTAATGATTTCAGTTCAACTTAAGAATGTTGTATTCTTAAAATTGAAACAAATATACATCAACATGCAAACTTTCCTGCAATCATAATTGCATCTGCCTAAATGATGGTAGAAGAAGTAGTAGAATAAAAAGAAGAAGAGGAAGGAGAAGAATAAGAAGAGAAAGAGGAAAAGGAACAAGCAGAACAAGAAGAAAAAGAAGAAGAAGAAGAAGAAGAAGAAGAAGAAGAAGAAGAAGAAGAAGAAGGCAGTTTGTTATTCAAGGTCAAAGCAATTTCACACGTTTACTCATGACCAAAGGTTAATGCTGTATACAAGATTTATTATTGTCAACTTCTTGCCTAGATTAATGAGCTCCAGTTAACATATTTTAAAGAGCACAATAAATGCCTGCACGGATATGAAACAGTATAAACCGCTGTTTGTTTTTCTTCTTCATGACGACGTAAGTCTTATACGCTCTACATTTCTGTATCTTGTGGTTTACAGCTTCATATCTGCATGGACAAGCGGTTAAAAGTCTCCTTATCACACTCATAACATAAACATGTATAAACACAATTACAAATCTCTTTCCATATTCATGTACTAGTATATCTATTTATTCTCTACATTCAACATCTTGTAATGTCTCCAATGCATAGCGGAAGGAAGTGATTTTGAGGAACAATGTATTTTTCAAAGTTTTTGATTAACTTTGAATGAAAAAGTTCAGACCTCCATGATTTCAAGTGGCTCATGAGTGATCTTGAATAGTATTACCAATTATATTGTAGCATGGTGTTCATTGTAGAGTCATGGGGTTGAGTTCACACACGCACATACAAAGAGGTTTGAATTTAACCCAAAGTCTGAACCATGGTTTGACATCCCCCAACGCATCAACTAAAATAAGTGTAAATAGGAACACAGAAGTGTATATAACGCCCGTTAAACGGGTATGATGACATGCACTTAGTACACTTATGGACTTTGCACCCTGGATTAAGGTAAACTACTTGCATGAAGTCCGGCCATGGATTCTTTTCTCCAACAATATAATTTGTAAACTGGCAATACCAACAGTGATATGGCATATACGATAGACTTATAAGTAATCTTTAACCATGTTCTAAGTCATAACATGGCTAACCCAGCATTGATGTGGCTTACACCATAGACTCATGAATTATCTTAAATAATATTCTGCTTTATAACATGGCAATACCGGCCGTGATTACGAACGAGAGACCGAGCACAAAGTAGCCTGTCTTGTACAACGTCTTGATGTCGTAGCCATAGCCAGTGTCCCACGCCTGGAGGAGAGAGAAAGAGAGAGAGAGAGAGAGGGGGAGGGATGGAGAGAGAGAGAGAAAGGAGGAGAGAGACAGAGAGAGAGAGAGAGAGAGAGAGAGGGGGGGGGGGGGGGGGGGGTTGGAGAGAGAGAGAGAGAAAGGGGAGGGATGGAGAGAGAGAAAGAGAGAGAGAGAGGGGGGGGGGGTTGGAGAGAGAGAGAGAAAGGGGGAGGGATGGAGGGGGAGGGATTGAGAGAGAGAAAGAGAGAGAGAGAGAGAGAGAGAGAGAGAATGGGGGAGGGATGGAGAGGGAGGGATGGAGAGAGAAAGATACAGAAAGGGGAGGGAAGGAGAGAGATAGATAGAAAGAGATAGAGACAGAGAGAGAGAGAGGTAAAGGGGAAGGGATGAAGAGGGAGAGAGAAAGAAAGAGAGAGAGAGAGAAAAAAAAAAGGGGAAGGGAAGGAGAGAGAGAGAGAGAGACCAAAAAATAGAGAGAGGGAGGAAGAGGAGGGAGAGAAACAAATTGAAATGAAAATAAAACTTCTCAGATAAAGAGGTGACTTTCCTTCAAATAATGGCAAATTTGAATTTAACTACAAAATGTATAATAAAGAATCCAAACATAAGATGTGTGGATATGCATACATGAACAAAACTGCAATTTACATGTAATTACTGAAGCATAACAAAATATGAAATTACGAATGTGCCACAGATACAAAGAGCTTTGATGATCTGTGTTGTATGCCCTATGACAGGGCTCAAATTAATTTTCTGTCCACGGGGGCTCTTCAAAAAAAAAAGAGCCCCCATGAGCCTTCTCACAGGGGCTCTTTTAGTGCTGACGGGGGCTCTTATTTTAAAACAAATTTCCATTGAATTGGTACCCATGAAACTCCTAAATTCCTTGGTATTTTATCATTATCATTTATTTAAGTCGGCATTTTTCCCTCTTAGAAATTTACTTGTTACATAGCTGTTATTGACTTTTATCCCCGTGATGACATTCTCTCCATTTCTTCCCGTTCTACACATAATGTCCTCCTCATTATTCGGAGCAACCTTATTTACATTCTTTCTTTACTTTTAGTCTTTACCATATCCTTCCAAATACGATGTGGAGCATCATCCACAGGCCACGCAGCGGCGAGGCGATTTTTGTTGTTGCTATTTTCAATCCTCGTAAGTGATGTTTGCCTGGCATCTACTATAACATGCGGTGCATCGTCCACGAGCCGCGAAGCGGCGAGGCGATTTTTTGGTGCTATTTTGACCCCCCGTTAGTGATGTTTTCCTGGCAACTACTGTGTAGGTCTGGACACATGATAGCATTTTTCTATGCACATCACATTTTCACTTGGCATCCCAAGGGGGGGAGGGGGGGGGGGGGGTTAAACCCCCTTAACCGCCTAGATCCGCCCCTGCAACATCTTTGCTGATCTTCTTCTCAATATTGATTTACTGGTCGAGTTACATGACCTATGACCTTACCAAATGCCTGACGCCATTGAGACTATGGAAAGCCACTGGCCAGACAATGGCCATCTTGGTGAGAAAGAGAAGCGATGGACCAAAGGAGAGCGCCTTGATCATCTCCAGGTAGTGTGCAAAGTCATGCGGTAAGACGCTCATTGATAATCCCAGAGCATAGATGCCTGCAAGAAAGGAGAGAAGAGCAACAAAATTTAAACTAGCCCCATGACTAGACAAGTAATTTGATATGCATATCGACACGATTGGAATATATTTGAATTTTGACCCTTGTTTGACCTTTGTTAACTCCTCACAAAAATGCCTGACATTTTCAAGGGGGCAGCCCAAGTCAAATTGTTCGGTATTCATCAGGGAACACAAAAACACTTTCAGACCTTTGTTCCCAGAATTAGGTCACAGGACCTACAGGCTGGTCTCCTACTACATAGACTTTAGTTGGTATCACAAGTGGGATTCCAACTATGAACCTATTCATTCAATTGGTGATTAGAAATTTGCCCCATTAACAATTTCTCCTGGTTTATATTGTCAGTAAAGGGTTAGGGTTGCAAGTTGGTTTGGGGTTAGGTTTAGGGTTAGGATTGAGGTTGGGTATAGTGATAGGTCCTGGATTGCGGTTAGTATAGGAAAGCACCACAGGGCAATCATCGCATGTGCATGTGTCATACACAATTACAGTCAAACCTGCTTTAGAGACCACCTGTCCACAAAGACTACCTGTCTACAAAGACAACATTTTTTGTTTCCCTTTAAAGGTAATACAAAGTTTTGGTATGGGGTCATGAATCTGGTTCAAATGAACATATTGGAAGCATATACGATCCTACAATATTCAGTGATCGTTGTCGCGGTCGAAATCGACTCTAAAGTTATGAAATTGTAAATAATAAACACTTTATGTTGAATAGCTCCCTCTCAAGGTCAATATATCAGTTAAGCTATAAAACAATGTTTATTGACTAAAATTGCCTGATTAGCTATTCTCGTTCGGAAATTATATACCACAACTACATACTCTGAGATTTTCATGGTCGCAGCTACCATTGAACGGCCATACGAGCTATTTGAAATTCATCAAAATTTACCGGGAGCACCGGTAAATCTTTATATTCAATTTGTCTCGAAAGCAGAAGTGTTTTAGGGGCTAAAATTTATGGGCCCGTATTCTGAAGTCAGGTTTAACTTTAAACCTAGGTTTAAGTCTAGTCTAAGCCTCGCCTACATGTAACTCTCAGATTTAAACCTAGGTTTAATTTTGCGTTTCTGAAGTCGGGTTTAACTTAAACCTAGGTTTAAGCCTGGTCTAACTCTGTGGAAATTGTACACATATTTAAACCTGGGGTACACCTAGTTTAAGTCTGGCTTAAGTCAGGTCTAACTATTTGTTGGATATTCAGAGGAGAAGAGGACAACATTAAAAGACATTACGACGAATTATTGCAAATAATGAGACCGGAGAGAGCTCTTGTGGAAAGAAAAAAACCTTTCACAATCATGGCGACGATGATTTGTTTGTCATCGCTGTCTTTTTTTAAATACCAAACAAACAGCGATTTGCATTGACTCCAACATTGGAGAGACACACACATCGCTTGCGGATAAAAGTGGGCCTTGCGATTTTATGCCTTCGGCAAGTTTGAACATTAATTTGGATACTTCATTTGCTTATTGAATCTTTATGCCTAATATTTTCTAAGTCTTAAGATTTTATATTTTATATAAGATTGTGTGATTTGTATAGTACGACAATCCTTGAAACTAAAAAGTTGCCAAAGTAAATCAACACGTATCACTTTGTTGCAGAGGAAAACAAATATAGTAGCCCCATACCTTTAGTTTGACGTTATGCTCACGTAGTTTTGAAACTGTGAGTGCAATACACATTTTCAAATTGCGTCCCAACGATGTAAACAAATGCGAGATAAAATAAAACTGTAGGCCTAAGGTTGGATTAGAATAATCTATATTTATAAGACAATCATGGATTAGTATAATTAAGAGCCGACGAGTGTATTAAGCCGGAACTCTAGACCTAGATCTAGTAGAGTTTTGGGTAGAATCTGCCCTAGATCTAGTCTAGACTCTAGACCTAGACCGATTAGGCGCGCCTAGTCTATTTATATTATGATGTCAAAACATCGAGAACATCCTTAAGATGCCCCGAACGATGCACTAGAGGTCTAGATCTAGATCTAGACCTAGGCCTTAATAAGATTAAAATGACTGAAAGAGAAATGATCACAAATACCTTCTTGATGCAGAATAACTAGTCCAAAGTCAACATTGAAGCTCATATAATATGGTCGAATTTTAAGCGTTTTTTGTTAGGACAATGCAATATTTCTAAACCGTGTGTACTTGTACAAATGAATGCGCGCACGATCGATGATATGCGCGCACGGTGACCGAGAAGGGGATCATGATACCCGACATGTCGGTTCGAAAAAGGATTCCATTGTCCTAAAAAAAAACTAAAAATCAAACAAATGAGCTTCAGCAATGTTGACTTTGGACTAGTTATTTTGCATCAAGAAGGTATTTTTGATCATTTGTAGTTTCTCTTTTAGTCATCTAAATCTTATTTAGAGCATTTTTATGTTGTTCTGGAAGTTTTGACTAATCTGCATGGGCATGCAGAAATTGTAGAATCCCGATTTTTGTATTATTTATTATTCGTAAAGATCAATTCCACCTCGATTCAGACTTTTTCAGCAGTTTAACAATAAATCAAAGGGTAAAACAAAACAAAAAATCACGTCATAACGTTCAATGGTTGCTTCGAAAGAGATTTGTTTGTGTCGAATATTTTGAATTGAAATTATTAAATTTGCAGCACGAAATCCAGCTATAACAAAGCCTATAAAGGCCATATCAGCTACCCTTGAAGATGGATGAGCTGTACTGAGCATGTGCAGTAGAAGCAGACTACATCTCCATGGTAGTTAAACCTTGGCTTAACTTTAAACCTGGGTTTTAGACTTAAACCTGGGTTTAACTAAACCTGGCTTTCAGAAACTGAAATGATACTTAGACCTGAAGTCTGGCTTAGTTAAACCCGGGTTTAAAGTTAAACCTGGGTTTAACTAAACCTGACTTCAGAATACGGGCCATGGTGTTTTTAAAACATCCACAGGGGCATCCAAATATATTAAAATTGTAAAGAATCACTATCCACCCATTTTTCAAAATTTCCCAAAACTTTGTAATACCTTTAAAATGTTTTTTCATTGAAACATGTAGTAAAGGAACCTGTACATAAAGACCACCTGCCTATAAAGACCACTTTTCCGGTCTCCCTTGGATGCTCTTTATAGACAGGTAATACACTTAATTTAAAAGATATTTACCAACTGTGAGACCAACACCTGTTCCTCTATGTGTAATAGACAGCATGGATGTTACTTGAGGGCTGTACAAAATGAAAGATATCCAAAAAGATTGACAAGTCAATTGAGGCTGATTACAACGACAAGAGAGACACAAAACCATGAAATATTTATATAATATTGGATGACTTTGAGTGTAATACAAGAATATATTGCTCGAGCTATGACAATATTGAACGAGTCGGAGACGAGTCCAATATTGTCACAGCGAGAGCAATATATTCTTGTATCACACAAAAAGAAAGCCATATCATGTTATCATTATTATCTATATCAGGCTGACTAGCGAATAACAAAATTTGATTTACCTCGGTAAAAATGGCTTTTATTGTGTGTGATATCGATATCGATAGTCGAAGTTCACGGATGACTGAGCAATACGAAAACAATATTGGTCAGTAATCCGGGTACTGCGCTAAAGATATTGAATACACTGATGTATTTTACCACTTGGAAGCCTTATATAGATAATAATTAAAATTTACTGCACGGTCATCCATCCGGGTACTTTTTCTCACAGCTCAAGGTATGCTGTTTTTTTTTCTGGTTAGTTTGAACCCTTCATACATGTACCAATAGTGACATGTCTTACCTGTATATGGTGAGGTGAGGTGACATGGGTCTGTTCAGTCTCTTGTTCGTATCCCAGAATTTATCTTGCTCCTGCTTTGCCGTCATTGACATGGTGACCCTGCAGGGAGGTAAGTAAGGTAAGGGTTAATTTCCTGTAAGGAGAAGGCGACTTCTGGTAAAGAAGAAATATACATGGGCATGCAATTTGTGATGTGTCTCATTCTTTTCAAGTCAGATTGGAAGAGATTAAATGGCCCCGGAATAAATTGCTCTTCGAAAGCCCTAATATTGGTAATATAACAAGAAATAAAAACTTTTGACCAAACTTCCATACCACAAGTGTGAATAATATTGCTCTATCTGCAGCCCATGTGACTTTCAGCTAGAATGAGTCAACTACTTATTATTTAATTAACTCCAAAACCTCTCAGCATACATCAAGTATTTTGTACTAAACCTGTCCCATTTCCTCCAAGAGATTTTCTTCCCCAATGATATTGCATGACCTGTAGCAGTTCAGTGGCTCCTTTTAGAGTAATTTTTTGTAAACTATTATTGACCAAAATCTAGAAATTACACATTACACATGAGCACAAATCAGAAGAACAAAAATGAAGAGTCCATATATCAGTCTTGAGAGGGCGCTATAGAACATAAAGATGTTATCATTTACAATTTCATCACTTCAGACTTGATTTCAACCGCGACAACGATCATTGCACATTGTAAAATTGCATATGCTTCCAATATACCGGTATTCATTTGAACCAAATTTATGACCTCATACCAAAACTTTGTATTACCTTTAAGGAGGAAAAGTTGTGTATCATCTATATCTTGTGATACCTCTTTTAATGTTATGGACTAAAGAGAAAGTTGAGTTCTGGGAAGATGTAAAAATAATTTGTGAGCATTATCATTGGTATTACGCAAGTTTGGAAGGACATCAGATTAAAATTGTTTCCTGAAAAGCATGGCTCTTCACATCTTTCTGTGTACAGCGCTTGTAACTTTACTAAGACTGGGCCAAATTTCTTATCATTTTAAGGATTCCAGAACCTAGCAGTACACACCAAAACTTACCGGTACATGTTTATGCTAGATAATCAACCTTTTCTGATTGATTCCACACAGTTTCTTTCACAATGCAATGGCTTGACAAGAACTCAACTTTATCTTTTAACTTGTGTAATGCTTACCTGCTTGTCATCATGGGCTGCATCCTGGCAAGTAGCTGATGGTTCCTACATACTCCTCTAAACGTAAAAGAAAAATAAGCAGAAGGGGGAGGAGAAGGAGGAGGAGGAGGAAGGGGGAGGAGAAGAAGAGGAAGAAGAGGAAGAGGAAGAGGACGAGGAGGAGGAGGAGGAGGAGGAGGAGGAGAAGAAGAGGAGGAGGAGGAGGAGAAGGAGGAGGAAGAAGAGGAAGAGGAAGAGGAAGAGGACGAGGACGAGAAGGAGAAGAGGAGGAGGAGGAGGAGGAGATGGACAAAGAGGATTGAGGAGGAGGAGGAAGAGGAGGAGGAAGAGGAGGAAGAGGAAGAGGAAGAAGAAGAAGAAGAAGAAGAAGAAGAAGAAGAAGAAGAAGAAGAAGAAGAAGAAGAAGAAGAAGAAGAAAGAAGAAGAAGAAGAAGAAGATGGACAAGACAAGGATGGTGATGAAAAAGAGGACCAAGCAGGAAAGAACCAAAGGATGAAAAGTAGGAAGAAGTAGGAGGACAAGCAAATGGAGAAGATGAAAAGGCAGAGAGAGAAGAAGAAGAAGATGAAGAGGAAAAAAAGGAGGAAGGAGAAAAAGAAGAAGAAGAAGATAAAAAGGAAGATGGAGAGGAAGGAGAGGAAGTGGCAGAAGGAGACAGGAATAATATGGAGGAGAACAAGGAGAGAAAAAGAAAAAAGGGTGATAATTACAATTATTAACAAATTCTGTATAAAGAGCACTCTACTCATCATAGTTTAGCATATATTTTCCCGTGCTGTGGAGTTGGACTTTTCATATCCCACATAGCCTTCCTTCAAGCCTACCAGTTTTCAGCATCTGTCTGGACGAGTCCAGGCCCTGTTTCATATCAATAACAAATGCTAAATTTCTATGCAAATTTGCTCTCAGCCAATCAAATACCACACATTTCAGTATTTTATCACAATTGTTTAACTTAATTGTTAAAGCTAACAAGTTTTATGAAACAGGGAACAGATGTTCTCATGTCTTCTAGTTCTACTGATATAACCAGATATATATGCCAAGACCTCATTTGTTTAATAGCCTCAAACACAAATTATTAATTTATTTCATAATGAAACTAATCCTCAAATTTCTAAATCTTCTCCAAAACTTTCATGCTCAGATGTAAATGGAATAATTAACCCCACAAAAAGGGGGCGGGGAAGCCACCAACAGGATAAATTTCTGTCTCCCAATGGATATAAAGATAAACCACATTACTGCACATCAACAAAGGTTGCATACATTCATTCAAAACTAGAGCTTCCAAGGCTAACATTTATTGACAACTGTATGCACTGTACATTGTATGAAAATAAAATTTATGAAGGAGTTCAAACTTCAATGTTTGAATTCGGCATATTGTATGTAGGTCAATACATAAAGCATTGTTTATGATATCATGGGTATTTACTGTTAGTTTCATTGGTTTACCTTTGCACTTTACGTAAATTTATTCATTTTTTTATTTTTATTGAATGTACATACCAGGCTAGTACATAACGGTATATATTATTGGAAGTTGGCATATACAAACAAGTGTACTGTGTCTACAAACATAAAACTATGAAATTTAATTGTTGTTTGGAAATTGGCGCTCGCTTATCGTTCTCACTTCAAGTTCAAATGTGAGAAAAGTAGACAACAGTTAGACCTACATGGACCAACAACTTTTCTATTCCAATGATTTACATTCAAGAAAGAAAATCAAAAAAAAAAATGGTGGCCGAGTATTAGAGTAAGAGAAATCGTACTCGAGTGGTTGTTAACAATAAGTCAGTGCGCGTGCGAGTATTTGAGTACTCGTCGCAGCCTTAGTTCAGACACCCTAGTTGTAGTACTAGCATGGCTAGGAATCTGTAGGAGGGATAAGATCACCCAGGCCAGGGTGGTCACTGTTGAAAATCATCCAACGACGATGGAAAACCCTATTAAATTCATTAATTCAACAACAAAAACAACAACTGCATGGGGCTATAATTATAAAGTATCTCATCAACTCAGCTCTCAGTCTCACTCAATTTATTAAGAAAAAGAGGATCATGAGCAATGTTTTCTATGTAGAGGGAGCAGGTAGCTACAAGTAGTACAGTGGGGCTTTAAAGAATTACCCATACCATTACCAGACGGTTATTTCTGTATGCTGTATAGCCCTAGAAGTAGAACCGGTCCTAGGGCCAAGGCAAGCGGCGAGAGTCAGCACTCAGATCAACAACATTACACGAAAGTCAATATATGGAGCCAAAGTAAATCTGACGTTTAACACAACCACCTAAAAAACATCACAAAACCACACTCTTCACGAGTATTTGACTTTGTTACCTACTAAATACAACCCTTTTAATTTGTTAACATTTTTTGAAGATATTACTTACCTCAAAAGAAGAGCCATGGCGGTTATTTCGTCAAAGTTTCTCAGCAGTTCTTGCAAAAAGTTATCAAGTTCACAGTTTATGTCATACTTCTCTGCTGCCATCAACGTCCATAAACATTGTAGTCGAGACGAAGTCTGCGTTCTCTCTCTCTCTCTCTCTCTCTCTCTCTCTCTCTCTCTTTCTCTTCCTCTCTCACAAGGCAATGACGTACATACGGTATATGCTATCAGTGAATAACAAAAAAGAAGAAGAAAAAAAGAAAGAAGAAGAAGATATTTGTAATTATGTACGGTAGTTAATTAAGACCCCACTCCATTATTTATTCTTTATCATTTTCTCTTTCTGTTTTTCCTTATGTTATTCTTTTTTTTGCCTTCGATCATCTGTTATTGTTTGTTGTTATCATTCTATCACTTTCTCTTTGTCTTTCCTTCTGTTATTCCGGTTCTTCCTTCTATCACCTTCTCTTTTGTAATTCTTTGTTTTTATTACTCTATTATTTAAATTCCTCTTCCTACATGTATCTCAAGTTATGCTATCCTTTCGTTTCTTCCTTCTATATCACATTCTCTTTCTGTCTTTCCTCATGTTATTCTTTGTTTCTTCCTCCCATCACCATCTGTTATGTTATTCTTTGTTTTTATCATTCTACCACTTTCTCTTTCTGTCTTTCCTTATGTTATTCTTTGTTTCTTCCTTCTATCATCTTCTCTTATGTTATTCTTTGTTCTTCCTTCTATCACCTTCTCTTATTTTATTCTTTGTTTTTATCATTCTATCATTTTCTCTCTATCTACTCATTATATTATTCTTGTACTGTAATCTCTTTCTCTCTTTTATAACTTTTCCGCCGAAACACACTCACTTCCGGCTAAAGATCGCTTCATTGCACGGTTTGTGTACACACTGCAAGCTAGATCAGTCTGATGGGGCGATCTAGGAAGCGAACCGGTCCAGAAGATCGCTTTCTGGACCGCTTGTCTGTTCACACTTGCATTTAGCCCGATCTAGCCTGGGTCGGTCTAGGAATGAGTGAGAACAGGGTCTAAGTTTGAATACTTTCAAATGGTTTCTACCTCATTATAGTTTGAATGTCTCTTCTCTTTCCTATTTCTTTATGTATTAGCCAACAAAGGAAGGAAACCGCATAGACCGGCCATCTCTGAATAAAAATTTGCTATAAAAGTATACACATAAAAAGAATGTCAATAGAAAAAGGTGATATATAATTTTAGGGTCTTTAATATCAGTTTTCATATTTTGAAATAGAATTATTTTTTACAAATCAAACCAATATTTACAATAAATATATGTACAAAATCACACTTATATTACAAAACAGCATCATTACATTTCTTTTTCATTGCGATTTGCAAAAACATATCACAATAATAAAATCAAGCAATTATCCTGGAGTTCTTTCACAAGATCAAGGTGTAATCAGGGACCCGTTTCACAAAGCCTTTTTTCAATAACAAATGACAAAAATCAGTGACAAATCTGTTGATAACCAATCAGAAGCAAGGATTTCAGTAGCTTATAACAAAAACTGTCATTTGTCACTGATGACAAGTTTTGTGAAACGCCCCCCAGGTGTACATGAATTTCAACCATTTCAAAATGTTTCTACGGGTATTTGGTGGACTACGCTGACTGAAAATTTGATGCAATTTAAACTCTCAACCTCGAGTTATGATTCCGATTATTTTTTGCTATGATTCTACCCCCGCCCTGCACTCCAGGGTCGGAATGACCACATGCGTGTTACCGAAATGCCCGGTAAAGGGGTACTTTTCACGTAACAAAGTCCGGCTCATAGATACACAAAATTGACTTTACACACCGGAATTAGGGGGTGTTTTCAAAAGGAGGGAACATGCATATGCGAACCCTAAATACCACTGAGTGTGGGGGGGGGGGGGGGGGGATTCTACACTTCTGGTGGGGTTAAAATGAATGGCGCACACAAGAAAATAATAATAGTCCAACTTAGAGATAAGTTCAACTTAGGATCTTTGTGAAACACCCCCCTGGCTTCTCCCTGCATACAATGGAGGCTGGCCAAAATCATCCTCTTTCTAAATTATGTGAATAAGAAAACTAAGAAAGAAAAAAATGCATGTTTTAAAGAGAAGGTTGAGTTCTGGGAAGAGGTGAAGAATAATTTGTGAGCATTATCATTGTATTATGCAAGTGTGGAAGAATATCAGATAAAAAAAGTTCCCTGAAAAGCATGGCTCTTCAAATGCCTTAATATTCTAAATATAGCATGTATCATCATAAAAATTGGGACGGATTTGTATCGTGTAGTCCCATATATACATCTTTCTGATGTGTACATTGTAACTTTACAAAGATTGGGCCAAATTTCATATCATTTTGATGATTTCAGAACCTTGCAGTACACACCAATACTTATGCTAGATGATCAACCCTTTCTGATCAATTCCACAACATTCCTTTCACAATGCACCAGAACTCAAATTTATCTTTAAATCTTTAAAATGTTATTTTGTTTAATACTAAAATACATTGCAGAAGGCATAGAAATGCTATATCCTGCTCTTATTGGGTCTTGGTAGTTATAAATCCCTCAGTGTTTGGCAGATACATTCTAACCAGATTAGAAAACAAGATGCCCATGCATAATCAACCACAACCCAAATCCTAACCCTTTACTTTGGACTAAATAGGGTACGAGCAATTGTCACCGGAGCAAATATCGGAGTGATTGTCGGGGTGAAAGTAGATTAATGTCCAGTCAGGGAACAGATGCAAAGATGAATGAAAGACATTCACATTTCAAGGTTTTTTGCTGTCAAGGTGTTTTTCATATTTTAATAATGAGCACTATTTTCTTTACTCAACACCCCATCCTTCCCCCCCCCCCCCCCCCCCCCCTGAGCAACAACTAAAAAGGTAAAATTGTGGTTCCCATCTTCTTCCTTTTGGCCAGGGGTAGAGGCCATCTTCTTCTTTTTTAAAGGTAGAATTGTGGTTAATTACCATCTTTGTTTTTCATATGTTTTTTTTGGTCAGGGTTGGGAGCCCGTGCCCATTACGCCCCCACCCTGCATCCGCCAGTCCTGCACATCCCAATTGGTAATATCGTATCGGGAGGAGAGACCAGGGACCTGTTTCACAAAGCCTTTTGGCAATATCAAATGACAAAAAAAAGTGAAAAATCTGCAGATAACCAATCAGAAGCAAGGATTTCAGTAGCTTATAACAAAAACAGTCATTTGTCACTGATAACAAGTTTTGTGAAACACCCCCCTGAGGGTTACAGTGACTCAGCTTGCTTTTCCCCTCCCAGGCACAGCTGATGCCAAATATTAATGAAAACGTCCTTCATCCAGAGGTTGGTAAAAACTTAAAAGTGCTTAAAGCCCCTTTGCACTAATTTGGCATGGAGGGATAGGACCTCCCTGCAAGGTCACTGGCAGGTGGTTATCTCATCAAATCAGCTCTCAGTTAACATAAGAAAAAGGGCATCATGGGGGATCAACGAGTACTGCTTAGGGCATTGTTGGCTGTATAGAGGGCCCAAGTAGCTATAAGTAGTGCAGGGGGGGCTTTAAAATCGTTTGCTCTTGATGGGCTTGGCATGTATTGGCTCTGTCCAATGAAGTGAAAACATGAAGATGAGTGAGAGAAAGGCAAAGAGTCCAAACAGCGTTAACATCAACACACGAGGGATAAAGGTCTGATCCGTAATCTGCAGATGGAGAAACAGAAAGAGAGAAGATAAAGAAAATAATTGGAGAAGCACAATAAATAATAATTATATTTGCTTATATAGCGCCTAACACTTACTATTAGAAGTCTCTAAGCGCTCTACAATAATGCAGCATAATTACCCTGGCTTTAGCAGTGCAGCTGATACATACGCTGCGTTTCAAGAAATAAATTCCTACCAAGTCCCCATTTACTTCACCTGGGTGGAGTGTAGCAAATGTAGATCAATGTCTTGCCAAAGGACATTAGTGCCGCAGCGGAACTCAAACCGCAGACCTTGTGATCGACAGTCCGGCGACGTATCCACTCTACCATGGCACCTCTTCAAAATGCATAGTAGTGGGTTCTCATGGGGAATCGGACACCATATGGTGTTTACTCCATATATCAGGTGATATCAAATCACCAAGAGTGGACTTCACTTTTATGACAGACAGGTCTTGTGTAATGAATTGTGTCCTAGCCTACCACCTTATGGAATTCTCATCATATATATACATCAAATTTCCCTCACCCTTGAGATATAGGCAAGTTGGAGCATTTTCTGGTGGGACTGAAGGGTTCGCTGCTTCAAAGACCTTTGGACACACAGACAAGTTTATTAGTAATTCCACTAAATTTAGTGCCAGCGAATTATAATGCAATATACATAGACACTGTCTACTGTGTGGCTTTAATAACCTGCTGCACTATTGGTAGTAGAGGGAAACCATGGCATAATGGTCCTCCTTTACATTCTCAAACACTTATATTGGGAGGAGAGACCTAAGGGTCACAGAGATTCAGTTTGCTTGGCCTCACGCAAGGCGTGGTAACTCAGTCGGTAGAGCAGTAGTCTCGTAATACGGTGACCCGGGATCGAAAACCAAGCCGATGCGCTAGTGCCCTTTGGTAAGGCATTAATCCTCACTACCAGGTCCATCTCAGAGGACCTTAAGCCGTCGGCCCTGTGGTTGCTTACTTACAAGCATTTATGCTTTCTTAGCAGTCAGGTAAAATAAACACCATCACCATCATAATCCAAGATGGCGGCCCATCATCATCATCATCATCATCATCATATAATTATGTAATCATGGTAATTCAGGGAAATATCAAATTATTCAAAAATACATGTATATTCATATGTACACTTGGCATTCCATACTTAGTCGGTGGATTAAAGGATGGAATAAAGTTAGTCCGCTTTCGAGAATACCACCCTTGAAGATTGTTTAAAAATGGGACTGGGTTGAAACTCCATTTGTCAAAAGAAAATTGTTTTCATGTTATGCTGGGAACCAGATCATAGAACTTTCCAGCGTTTGAAATCCTTGTAATTACTGAATGGGCATGAGGCCCTCTGGTGGGCTATACCTAAACTTACTCTTCCTTGGAAATGATTACATTTTATACCTCTTGTATAAAGAAAACACCCCTTATTTGTAATTGAGTGGCCAATCTTTCTAATCGAGCTCACTACTGATTGGACAGTATTCCTTAGGATGGACTGTACCAATACCCAGTCAGGGTTTTGATCTGCTACTCACTCACCCTGATATCTGATGGTTGAGGGATTGAATCTTCTCTGGGGATGAAGACAAGGATGAGCGTGATGATGATCACCAGGAATACTAGCCCAAATGATGCACCTCTGGGAGACAAAACGATAGAAGAAGGAGAAAGGGTAACAATGAACGAAAGAAGAATGGATAGTAGAAAACGAGAACGAGAATGAAATCGAACATATGAAATCACATGATCATCACCAATTGTTTTTATTTGTGTATATGAACAGTTGTCTTTTTAACCAAACCAGTATTTTATCTGTCATAGTTTCAATGTACGATAATGTAGATACATGCATGTTTTGTGAATGGATATTCTTTCCTACTTATATGTATCCTTGATCATTGTAAACACATACATTTCAACTTTTTAACTGCAGCATGTGCATCATTGTACTCTATGTTTTTTTTAAAATAAAACCTTGAATTGAATTTTAAAAAAAAAAGAAGGAATTTACACATTCTTGTGATGTTGGAAACATTTTTTCTTCCAAAAAGAAACTTCACTGAAACTAAATTTTTAAGAACTCAACTATGTGATCAATGATCTAGGCTGAATAACAAACCACTTTGGTAGGACCCATTTTGTAAAATACATGTACTAGTGTTTCCCACATGGATTCCTGACAGAACTTATTGTGAGGCTCATTGACTGTGAGCTATTTTGCATTCTAGAAAAGCTCTAAAAAATCCTGAACTATGGCATGAAATATGGCTTAGAAACAAGCAAGGGCCTGAATTCAGACTTTTGCCTGAAAGCTTACAACCCTGGGGAGTGTTTCACAAAGACTAAGATCGACTTTAAGTTGGACTAACTAAACTATGGCAGGCCATACAGTGTACATGCCACTGGTTGCTCTCATCATCGGTTTTTCAATTATGATCTTTAGATAATATTTTTTCCTTCAATTTTGAACTACTATAAAGAAGGTGAATTCTTTAGATTTGTGACCACAATTTGTACGTCCCTTGAGAGACCAATGCAAATATGGTGAGAGCAACAGTGGCATGAACGGCCTGCCATCTAGTTAAGTCCAACTTCTCAGCAGCGTTTGGAGAGCTCTTCAGGTGCTATGCCGGGGCTGTATTTAAGCGTTTTGTAATTTATAATAATCATTACTTCGAATGTTTCCAAGCATTGAATTTAGATTTTGTCGAATCAAAGTTTCAACTTTGCAATAATTAAAATAAATTTAGTCTTTAAAATCAATGAATATCTACTTTAAGCCGTCAGTCTTCTGGTTGCTTACTAATAAGCATTTATTGCTTTCTTAGCTGTCAGGTAAAATAACCACCACTATCACTATTTGGTCTATTGCTGGTCGGTCAGTGTGAACAAAGGCAATAACAGGCCACGGGAACAAACCTCAATTCATCAGCTCTAGAGAAGACAGCAAAGCGTAAAGTAAAATGCCAAGAGCCAAGAATCTGTAAATACTGAGAAATGAATATACTGGTACACCTCTATCCCACCAACAAGTTCTCTAAATGATTTTACCCACACCCATTCACAGCTATCTAATCTTTATTTGGTTTACTTTCGGTCCGGTTACGGACTACATCTGTATGAATGGGGCATAATTAACGGAGTCAGGCTAACTCGGACCCGGGGAAAACTCAGCCAAACGGTCAGTTTTTGCAGGTTTAGGGTAAGGGTTAGGGTTAGAGTTAGAGACTAGAGTTAGGGTTGGGTAAAATGACCAAAAACTGACCATTTTTGCAGCGGGGCGGAGTTGTCCCAGAGTCTGAGTTAGCCCGGATCCTAATTAACAAGACACAAACCTCAATTTATCAGCCCTTGAGAAGACAGCGCAGAGCAGAATGGCAAGAGCCCATAGTATAGCTAGAACAAAGAGGCCAGTTCCTACTCCAAATATAAGAGCCATGTTGATTGGCTGCTGCTTACTATACACCAGCCACTGTCAATGTATGGACATCGCTGTCTGAAAGGAGAAAAGAGAAAGAAAATTATCCATGTATTCCACCTTTTAATACTAAACCAATGACTACTTGTGAACATCATAGTTTGAAGGGAAAAGGGAAAATTTGGGGTTTCCTTTTAAAAAAGATAAATTTCAGATAAATTTCAGATAATTATATTGTTCTCCTAAATAAAGCTCTGACCAGATTGCACTTGAAAATGCATGCTAGCATTACAAAATGTACAAAGTAGGGCTACAAACATATTGGGGTGATTCCATTTACTGTATTTTGCCAGACACAAGTAATTTATGGAACAAATTGCCCAAAGAACTTCAAATATGCCCAACAGTATCAATTTTCAAAAGAAAGCTCAAGAAATATCTTGTAAATGAATGTGTATAACTAGTATTTTTTTTTTTTTTACATAAATGCCTTTCCTTTTCTTTTGTTGTTGTAATGGAGTTGTCTGGTTTAATTCTGTATATTGATGCTTTGTGTTATTTTAATCTCTGTATTTCTATCTTGTTTTTAGTATATTTAAGAAACTTTTTAAGTAAATTTTATTATCTCTGGGAATAACCTTGATAGGCCATTGGCCTTTGTTTTCCCCACCATATTATGGTTTAAATTAAAGATGTTTCATTTTAACGTTTGTTAAGCCACTGTCCAATATTGGCCTTCTTCTTCTTCTTCTTCTTCTTCTTCTGTAGGTCTAGACCTACATGTCGACAGACTTGTTAGACTAGTCCATATAAAGATCAGGTGCAGGAAAGAGTGATTTTGGACAAATTTTAGATGTTGTTTACCTACTTCTCCACGGGACCCTAGCTAAGGGAGCAAATTAAGGCTCCCTCGAATAATATCATAACAGACATTTCGAGGGAGCCCGACTGGTGGTGGTGGTCACTCCAGCAAAGCATAGAGAGTCCATGCTAATGCGTATGGACCTCTAGCACTGCATGTATGTGGTATGCACGGGGTGGATTTTTTTTAGTATTAAGATCATAAAATGTAAGACAAATACAACATAACATAGGTTATGTTATATTTGTCTTACATTTTACAGTATTTAAGATTATTAAATTATTTTTATAATAGAAAAAAAGAATTCAAAACTAACTTTTAAAGCCCTTTTTCCTCCTTCTTTTACAGAGACGGCAGCATGATTCCCTCCTCGATTGCGATGACATCAAAACTGCGCACTTTACGCACACCATACACTGACTTCTACATGCGCTACAATTCGCCACAAAGACAGCTCGCCCCTGAACAACTCGACACAATACCCTCCCTGGATATCTTGCCACAATACCCTGGACAACTCGACCGTAGCAAGTTGTGCAGGGTATTGTTGCGAGATGTCCAGGGTATTGTGTCGAGCTGTTTTGGGGCGGGTTGTTTTTTTGGCGAGTTGTCTAGGCCCCGGTGAAAACATACGTGACGTGGCTCTTGCGCAACATCTGACGGGTAGTTTTCTTATCTCGCAGACGTTTTCATTTATTGCTTTATCGCAGGTTTAAAGCACCTAGGCCTCTTATTCCGTACAAATTTCTAGATAGACTTTCGAAATGCTTATTATTAGTATCATTATTAATATTATTATTATTAAGACCCCAAAATTGCTAAATTGAATATTATACTTTGGAATTATATAGTAATGCTCCGCCACCTCTGTCGGCTAATAGTTGGGCTGAAATGTATACCAAACTCTAAAAACGCTCGTACGCAATAGCCTACCGCTGAGCTGTGTACACAACCGATCGCGTCCATATCAACATGCATATATTCGGACGTAAGCGGTCGCGAACGGTCTTTAAAAACAAAGGTCATAAAATCCGAAAATGGCGCACGTTAGCTGAATTGCGGATGGGCTATAAGCAAACAAGTAGGCCAGATGTCTGGAAACCAAGGAAATTTACACTAACGAAACTTGTAAGTTCCTAAACCTAAGGCCAAGGATCTGTATCCTGGGCATATCGCCAACCCAAGCTTGAGGTCAGCTATCACCATTCGAGCCCAGATCTCCTGCAAAGTCTACCTGACCCAAGTCAGGCTTGTCAGGATCGGGAAGGCAACTGATGACTGCTGCCGTCTGTGTCGGGTAGAGCGAGAGGATGTTGAGCACCTTGTTGCAACTTGCCCAGCCCTATCATCTGTGCGTCAAGACCTTATTAATCGTATTAAGGATAACCTCAACACAAAGCAGTTTGCTCAATATTTCGAGTCTGCGCCTGCGCTGTTCTTGGAGTCAGTGCTATTTCTCCCTGCTGGGCACATCAGCAGTAGTGCCAAAACACAGCTGCATACCCTTATCCTTTATTTTATACGCAACCTTCACACAACCCGTCAAAATCTACTTAACGACCTCCCGGTGGGGTCACTCCCCTGCAAAGAGTGACACGTATGACCGTTACCACCAATGCATATAACCCCCTTTTGCGGTCAATTTCAAGGACATTTTGTGAAATTTAACCCCCTTTTTTACGTCAAAACAAGGACAAAATCGTACTTTGGAATACCCCTATTTATAAGATTGTAAGGACACTTTCGCAAATTTACCCCTATTTTACCATATTTCAAGGACAAGACTCGGCTCCGAGAATTTTTCTTCCCGGTTTTCTCTTTTCCCTTTTTCTGACCCCTATTTATCAATTTCGGGGACACCTGTGCCCCCCTATTTTTCTTTATTTCGAGGAATATTTTGTCCGCGGACATTGCTTGAAATTGACCCCTTTTTCCGCGATTTTGGTAACGGTCATGCGGTCCGGAAGTCACATTGAGTGACCCCACCGGGAACGACCTATAGAAAGCCATTTATGTAACTTCGGCAGACTCACAGTGCCGACGATCTCCGACCTGAGCGGAGGAAGGATACAAGAGAGAGAGAGAGAGATGGGTTATATCCCATTTAGTATTAGTAGGACATTTGAAAGTATCATACCGCAGGCTGAATATTCCGCAGGCTTTCAAATGTGTCGCGTTAATGTGCTGGTGCCAGTGTTGCCTGTTTTACTACACAGTCAGGATAGTGATGCTCCTATGTGTGGTGGTGGTGTGTCATTGCGAATTCGTCATTGCACTGTCCAATATTCACAAGACAATTCATAACAAACATATATCACTATCGATGGGACTGCACTTTAAAAATACGAGAATCACTACTATCGTCGACAATTCCAGTTTGTATCAGTCAATGAAAACAAAGAAAGGTAGACTATGCCTACTCACCATAATGACCTTTTCCAAATGATAAAAAGGATGAATGTGCGCAAAAGGAGAAACACATATGCATCTTTCTACATCTGAGTTTTTGAATGCTTTGCACCTAGCGTAGCGGCGCCTAGATCTAGAGTCTAGTATATTCATGAGAATCCGGGCTAACTCGGCCCACGGGACTACTCGGCCCAGCTGGAAAAACTGGGCCGAGATGTCCCGACCTGATTAATCGATCGAGAGATACCAATGTGTACATGTTTGTGCTCTTTGTGACTTAATAATGCCCTTTCCAACCTAAATCTTTAATGGAATTGTGTAAAATGATACTAATGAAGACAATCTATGACTTATCTTTAGGTAAAATGACAAAAAAATGACATTTCGGACAATTTACTCACAGCTCGCAATCCGCATTGCCGCACGTACATTAAATGTGCGTTGTATCTACTCGGACCACTGAAATTCGAGCAGTGTTTTTGTCGGTAAATCACTGCAAAAATATCATTTTTATCTCGTATGAAGGTCCATTTTTTATTCCTGACACAGATTTCATTATTGAGAAGTCGAATATAGTACATTTTAGACGAGATGGTTGATGTTTGTTGACATTCATTCGTCCTGGCCGTAAATTAGCAGACTACTGCCTAGTGTTACCGCAGCAGCTCAGCTCAGTGTGCAGCTAGCCGTACAGCGCCGCCGGCCGGGTCTGCGGGGGAATTCACTGACTCGTGCCGGGCTGCTGCACTGCATTGCATGATTGTACTGCCCAATTTGATCGAGTGATGTGAGTATAACTAATCAAACTAGATCTATATCTACTGTATTATCATTATTCATTCCGAGTAGAATATCCAATTTGATTTAGTGAGTAAACTAGACCTAGATCTATATCTACTGTAGCTACATCATTATCATATTCTAGATTACCTGTACAGGCCTCGAATTACATCAAATTTGGGTCAAGGCCACTTTTTTGTGAGGGCACAAATCCACTGAAAGGGGCACAAATCTATCCTAAGGGGCACTATGGCCAGCGTGGAAAGTGCGCGTGAAATCACCTCACGCCGTTGTTTTCAAGGTGGGGGGGGGGGGGGATATGTGCACCCAGGGGCGGATCCAGGATTTCTTCCTGGGGGGGGGGGGGGGGGGCTACGACTCAGCCAGCCGCTGAATAAGCGGGGGGGGGGGGGGGGGTAAGAGGACACTTTTTTGTTTTTTGGTCTCGAAATTTGAAAATTTGACATTTTGTTCCCTTTGAGGTGGGGGGAGGGGTGGGTGGGGGGGTGAGGTCACTTTTTTTAGATCAGCCATTGGCATAATTTTTTTTGTGTGTGAGTTTCATTTAAAAAAAAAAAGGGGGGGGGTTTGCTCCAAAATACAGACATAAAAAAAACCGAAAGGGGGGGGGGGGGTTAACGCCCCAAACCCCCCCCCCCCTGCGTACGTGCCTGCTCGTCTGAATACAGTTCCCCTCCTTTTACGTTTTTTACCTTTTACGTTTCATTAAATCATTAGAGAAAGAAGAGGATTCGTTGTACCGTTTTTTACTCTTAATCCTCATCTAAATTCATCCCCCCCCCCCTTCCCCCGCAAAGCTCGGAAGCTTTTACGTTTCATTAAATCATTAGAGAAAGAAGACGATTCGTTGTCTCGTTCTCGACTCTTAATCCTCGTCTGAATTCAGTTCCCCCCCCCCCATCCGCTCGCGCAAAGCGCGAAAGCTTTTACGTTTTATTAAATCATTAGAGAAAGAAGACAATTCATTGTATCGTTCTCGACTTTTAATCCTTGTCTGAATTTCAAAAATGTTTTTTGTCTGCTCCTTTTTCTTCATACGTCCTCTTCCTTTTCTCTCCTCTCTTTTTTTGGCTTTTTTTTTGGGGGGGGGGCGCCCCCACTGCCCCCCCCCCCTGCCTGCGGTCATATTAACATCTTTTGATACCTTGTTCGCCCCCGGAAACTCATGGGTTGAAGGCAAATTACGGTCAGATAAGCATTCAGGGGCCCGCCTCAGGGCCCCTGGTGGAGTCGAGGGTGCGGAAACCCCTGAATTTCAGGGGTTTCAGGCATTTGATTACGGTCAGATGAACATATTTTTATACCTTATTTGTGACACTGGCAGGATACTGATTGGCGTGAGGTCCAGCGGGCGGAGCCCCCAGAAGCCCATGGGTTTAAAGCATTACGTTACCGTCAGATTAGCATCCAGTGGGGTCCAGGGGGCAGAGCCCCCGGAAGCTCAGGGTTTAAGCATTTGATTACGGTCAGATGAACATGTTTTTATACTTTATTTGTGACACTGGCAGGACACTGATTGGCGTGAGGTCCAGCGGGCGGAGCCCCCAGAAGATCAAGGGTTTTAGGCACTAAATTGAAGTCAGATGAGTATCAAGAGGCCTGCCAAAGGGCCCTTGGTTGGGTCCCGAGGGCAGAGCCCACGGAAGCTCAGGGGTTTTAGGCGTTTAATTACGATCAGATGAGCAATTTTTGATACCTTATTTTGTTGAGAAACTGGTAGTTAACTATTTTTTCTTTCTTGCTCTCTTTCTTTCTATTTCTCTTTAAAATGCTTTTCAAAAAAAAATGGGGGGGGGGGGGGGGAGCTGAAGGGGGGGGGGAGTTTCCCCCTTTGACGTTTCATTGAATTATTAGAGAAAGAAGATGATTTGTTGTACCGTTCTTGACTCTTTATCCTTTTCTGAATTCCAAGGGAAGCGCGGAAGCTTAGACGTTTTTAATAAATTATTAGGGAAAGAAGACGATTCGTCTCGAACTCGACTACCGGTATTATCCTTTTCTGAACTCAATTCACACCCCTCCCGCGCGATGGGCGGAAGCTATGACGTTTTAATTAAAACGTATGGGAAAGAAGACGATTCTTTGTACCGTTATCTCGACTCTTAATCCTTTTCTGATTTAATTCCAGACCCTCCTCCCGAGAAAAATCCAAGTTTTTCACTGATTAAAAACTGTGAAAACGCACCAAAAAAGGTCACAACGCGAAGTAAAGATGTTGAACCAACGATGGGTAAACAAAACTTCCTGATATTGATTGGTTCAAATAAAAAGGATGGATTGAAAAACTAAGCCTGAGTCATTACGGTTTTTGTGCCAAACGTTTCAGTCATTTGGATGAAGACATTCTTTCATATCTCCGTATCGGCAATTAAGTCCCGCCAATTAATTTAGGAGTTCCATAGTAGAAATTAAGTCTCGCCAATAATTATTGTTTTAGATCTCCGTAGGGGCAACAAAGTCTTGCCGACTATTATTGTTTTTAGAGCTCCGTAGGGGCAACAAAACCTTGCCCACTATTATTGTTTTTAGAGCTCCGGAGGGGCAACAAAACCTTGCCGACTATTATTGTTTTTAGAGCTCCGGAGGGGCAACAAAACCTTCCGTTAATTATTGTTTTTAGAGCTCCGGAGGGGCAACAAAACCTTGCCGACTATTATTGTTTTTAGAACTCCGGAGGGGCAACAAAACCTTCCGGTAATTATTGTTTTTAGAGCTCCGGAGGGGCAACAAAACCTTGCCGACTATAATTGTTTTAAGAGCTCCGTAGGGGCAACAAAACCTTCCGGTAATTATTGTTTTTAGAGCTCCGGAGGGGCAACAAAACCTTGCCGATAAATATTTTTTTTAGCGCTCCGGAGGGGCGACAAAACCTTGCCGACTATTATTGTTTTTAGAGCTCCGGAGGGGCAACAAAACCTTGCCGATTATTATTGTTTTTAGAGCTCCGTAGGTGCAACAAAACCTTCCGGTAATTATTGTTTTTAGAGCTCCAGAGGGGCAACAAAACCTTGCCGATTATTATTGTTTTTAGAGGTCCGTAGGGGCAACTAAACCTTTCCGATAATTATTGTTTTTAGAGCTCCAGAGGGGCAACAAAACCTTCCGATAATTATTGTTTTTAGAGCCTCGGAGGGGCAACAAAACCTTGCCGATAAATATTGTTTTTAGAGCTCCGGAGGGGCAACAAAATCTTGCCGACTATTATTGTTTTTAGAGCTCCGGAGGGGCAACAAAACCTTGCCGACTATAATTGTTTTTAGAGCTCCGGAGGGGCAAATAAAACCTTCCGGTAATTATTGTTTTTAGAGCTCCAGAGGGGCAACAAAACCTTGCCGATTATTATTGTTTTTAGAGGTCCGTAGGGGCAACAAAACCTTTCCGATAATTATTGTTTTTAGAGCTCCGGAGGGGCAACAAAACCTTCCGATAATTATTGTTTTTAGAGCCTCGGAGGGGCAACAAAACCTTGCCGATAAATATTGTTTTTAGAGCTCCGGAGGGGCAACAAAACCTTGCCGACTTATCATTGTTTTTAGAGCTCCGGAGGGGCAACAAAACCTTCCGATAATTGTTGTTTTTAGAGCCTCGGAGGGGCAACAAAACCTTGCCGACTATCATTGTTTTTAGAGCTCCGGAGGGGCAACAAAACCTTGCCGACTATCATTGTTTTTAGAGCTCCGGAGGGGCAACAAAACCTTGCCGACTATCATTGTTTTTAGAGCTCCGGAGGGGCAACAAAACCTTGCCGACTATCATTGTTTTTAGAGCTCCGGAGGGGCAACAAAACCTTCCGATAATTATTGTTTTTAGAGCCTCGGAGGGGCAACAAAACCTTGCCGACTATCATTGTTTTTAGAGCTCCGGAGGGGCAACAAAACCTTTTTGAACATTACAAGTCGGGTTGGCTTACGATGACTATAATGTCGGCAAAACTTTTGTGGATTAAAATATTGTGGCCGTAAACGGTTTGATTTTGAAAAGGGCATTCCGGCCAGTGAGAGGGGCATGGCGGCAAATTGCCGATTGCCGGTGGGTAATTCGAGCCCTGCCTGTAGTCATTCAGAGTAGAATATCCGATTAATGAAGGAATGGAATTTTTCTTTTTTCATAATCGGATAATCATATTTTACTCCTAAAAGTCAGAGACTTGATAAATAGCTAGATCTAACGTAAGGGCCTAGCCTAGTACTCTAAGCAGATTCTTCAGTGAGCTGAAGAATCGCCTTATTTTTTTGGAGGGGGCTGCTTCAAAAAAATTCTACGAAATTAAGAAGGTATTGGCTTCGAGTTTTTTGTATAAATAATGCAGCCCCCACCACCCCCCCCCAAACAAACCAAAA